CCACACTACATTCTCAGTGAAAAAAGAAAACACTTGTGAAACACTTTATGTTTTATAAATAGGTTCTAACTCATTTTGATGCTGTTCTGACGCCACTTTGAAGGTAAGAATAATGTCTTTGGCAGCGGCAGTAGCCTAGTGGTGTGTGCGCTTGCCCCATGTATGTCACACACACACTTATTCTTTCAATGTAAGTCCTCAGAAAAGGACAGCATGGTTTCGAATCTGACTTGTGGCTCCTTTCCCCGCATGTCACTCCTCACTCTCTCCCTCCCCGATTTATGACTCTATCCACTGACCTGTCTCTCCAATGAAGACATAAAAAAAAAAGCGACAAAAAATATCTCCTTCATTTTCGCAAAGTTTGGCCTAGAAAAGATTAAAAAAGATTTATTATAAAAATGAAAGGGATATTTGAAATGATTTTGTATCTTCTTTTTTTTTTATCTCTAAAACAAGCTGAGTGTGATCCCATTTAAATGTAGTTGATTAACCAAAAGTTACTGGTTACTTCTGGTGGATAGAAACCAGACTGTACACAAAGGAGTCACTTTGTGTCACTGTCACCCATTAGTTTGTGGACTGCTGATTTAAAGCATTTAAAGTGACCATATTTGGACAAGTAGGGGGAAGCTAAAGAGGAGCAAGGCGGGGTTAGGAGCACGGCTACCTAGATAGTCACCAAGCAACGTCCAGTGTGGAAAAAATGAAGCCAGTGCAGAAGTGCAAAAATCCTGCATTTTGTCGAGGGTCTGCTTGAAGCTGGAAGTCACATACACACCCATTTTAAAAAAAGCCAGTTTTTCCAGCAGATAAGCATGTTTACAGCCTGGTACAAAAAATTAAATTGGTCTGATTAGCTCATTGGCACATAAATTGGCACACACTGTACGTGGGTGATTTTTTTTTGATAACTCATCTGTTTTGATTTTATGAAGGCGATAAGACATTGGCGAGTGGGCGCGGTGTAACAGTTTATCAGGAGGTTTTATACCCTCCTCAGCTTCAGATCTTAGCCTGTTGTTAAGTTGACTGAAAGTTAGGTTGAGGCAGCATTTCCCACACGGAGGCTGCCATCGATTGGGACTCCAAAGGTGGCCACAAACTGTAAACTATACAAAAAAAAAGTAGTTTGTTGTTACATTTTTTCTGCATCTCCTTCAAAGGCAATGTGAACGGAATTGCAGCTCTGATGTTGTGAATAAATCCAAGAAATCTGAAAGAAATTAAGTGTTCGTACATCTCTGGTTTCCATATTATGGCGCTGTTGCATCAGCTTGCACGATAACCAGAGTATCTTTCACTTCATTCGTAGTCGTTTGTGTTGTGACTATTATATGTGTCATCTCATAGCGGAAATACTACTGTACCAGCATCATAACACAGCCAATAACTCCAACACTGATTGAGCATGTTTGCCAGTTTTCCTCATCAGCGGCCGCAGCAGACCACCGTGAAGAGGGGAGGGGAGGCAGGGAGGCAGGGAGGCAGTTAGCATGTAAAAAGACCATATGTGTGAGCATGAGTGTGGGCACAGGGAAATGGTACGCCTGTGGTCCTGACGGAGCTCATGTGAGTCTGTGGGAGGCAAGCGCAGTACTGTATACTGTAGTGTATTTGTGTGTTTTTCAGAGCAAGGGTCTACACGTGTGGGTGTGTGCACTTTTTCCATGGGCTGTCACTCGTGTTGCTGCTGCTGAGTCTTTGGTAACTTCTCTCTCTCTCTCTCTCTTTCTGTGTGTGTATGTGTTTAAGCTTTTGTTTAATTTCTACTTCCTGTTTTATTCTTGGCCTAATCCAAACGCAACACAGCTGTGCAGTCAGCCAGAGAAAGAGGGCTTGGGGGATGGGTTGCCAGGTCCTGGTGAGTGCAGCCCTGCTCTACAACTGCTACCAACAGATGGAAGGGAAATGGGGTTACCAGCTTGGGCTTATCTTCTCTTTGTAGGCCAGACTGACCCCCCCATGCTCCCCCATCCCATCATTTGGTCATAATACTGTACTTAAATCTCTAAATTTTGGTGTTAGCTTTTTTTTTTCTCCACAGTTGTATGTTTCAGGGCCTATGGGGAAGGCCATACTGGCAGAAAAAAAGAAATGAAAGGATGAAAAGTGATGCATGCTCAACGCTAATGCTAGAAGTGTCATTGTAATAAGATACCAAGTCCTAATTTTCATAAACAATTTCCGACTCAAGACTCAGCATCTTATTTGGGTTGGCTGTGGCTCATTGGTAGAGTTGGTCATCTCTCAATCTAAAGGTCATGGGTTGGATCCCCAGCTCCTGCAGTCACGTGTTGAAATGCCCTTGGGCAAGAAACTGAACCCCAAATTACTCTATACTGTACTCTACCGCTATATCAGCGGTGTGTGCATGTATTAGTTAATACTGATGGACACTTTATGAGCATCCTCTGCTGCCAGTGTGTGATCGTAGTTTGAATGTGAATTGCGGTGAAGTAGTGCTTTGAGTGGTCGAAAGACTAAAAAAGTCATTTTGATTTTTGTGTAACCACTGTGTATGGCCATTTTAAAGCCTCAAGTTAGGTTTTTTCCATATGTCCCCCATCTTTTTTTAGAACACAGTTATGAAGGCACGGCAGTATATCTTTTTTAAAGCATTTTAAATAAACAGAAGAAAGTTAATGATACTATATCTTACCGTGAGAAAAATCCTATTCTGACTTTTATTTTTTTTACCTTGAAACGCTTCACCATCACCTGTGTCTGCTCAGTATTTTATTACTGACATCAAGGCAGGAGCCATTGAAAGTACACAACTTTGACTGAAATATTTGTCAACAGAGAACATTTCACTCCAAACCAATAGATATTTTACAATATCCTGATATGAAAAGGACAACACAACAGAAATAATACGCACTATGAGCAAATCAGTCGATCAAAGTCTGACATGGTAAATTTGACCCAAAATATGGTACGCCAGTGATTAGTGCGCAGGTTCCAAGTTTGGAGGCCATAGTCCTCCAGGCGGGCAGTCCGGGTTTCAGTTTCACCTGTGGCTCCTTTCCTGCATGCAACTCCCCACTGGCTCTCTCTCCCTTATTGTCTGATTCAATCCACTGTCTTATCTCTAAATAAAGGCATAAAAAGCCTAAAAATAAACCTTTAAAAAAAAAGCTTTACCCACAATATTTTCATTGATTTAAAGCAAATCATAAGACCGCACAGATTCCATTGGAAAGAACATAATCCATGAAATTTAGATTCATGATGAATCATGAATATTTAGATTTCTGACGGGTAACATTGTTCTTTCTTCGGAGTTTAGTTTAGTTAGGGAGGTTGGCCAACAGTTTTGAAGTGTTGTCATTATTTTCTTGCCAAACAGTAAATCTTTTTTACTAGATGTGTAATACGCCGCCCACATGAAGACATTTTAAGACTGTTCAAAGTAAATATTCCACCAAATCTTCAGAGTGTCATCTCATGAGATATTCAAACAAAACACCTTGTAGAGGAGCTGAGCTGGTGATGGAGACGTACAAATCAAGCGGTGTTTTGATAAGATGAATATTTCAGATGGTGTCTGTGGTGTTTGTGTATGTGATGAGGAAGGGAGAGGGGGAGGGGGGGGCAATCAAAAGCAAAGATGTGGACTCTGGAGCTCCACTGAAGCTGTCCCTCTTCAGTCTCGCCTGCCTACGGAGAGCTGAGGCGTCTCTCTCTGGTCTCTCCCTACCCTGCACAGCACAGCACATTCATTATTAATCTAGCAGAGTCTCTCCCTCCTTTTCAGCTCAGCCAATTACAGCCAGGCCCCTGCGACTGCTGCCTGTCTCATTTGACGCTGCACTGCTCGGCTTTGATGTCTCTATCAACACACAAGAGCCGGAGACCAAGTCTTAATAGAGCAGAAGGGGATTACGTGACTGCCTGCCTCTGGGGGTGGAACATTTTTTTTAATGTATAAAATATATGTTTAATTCATACTTTATTTTATTATCAGGAGACTTTGGCTCAGGCTTTAGTCAGGGTCTTGCCACTCTCTGCTCTCCTATCACAGTGACATGGTCGTTAATCCTGTTACTCCTTCATATGAGGAGTCGCACAAGCCTGCAAGTGGAGCAAGCTCCTCCACCCGAGGCCTCGCACTCCTCCCTCTTGGGCTGGTAGCCTTTCCTTCCTCTGCTCATTTCATGTGGAGAACGCCTTCGTTAACAAGCCGCAGCAGCAGCAGCAGCAGCACTGATGGTTTGGTAAGATGTCAGGCTGCTTTAAGGTCAGAAAATGTGTTTTTTTAATCAGAGCCCAGGTCAATTACCTTCAAAATCAATTGAGGAAATGTAAATGTACTTTAACCTGGCAGACATATCAAAACAAAACCTCCACATCTGTACAGAAACAGAAACAAGTCCCTGTGCATGATGTTCAACAGATGCTCACTCTGTCTCTAGCGAGCCAGTTGTGTCCACCCTGAGTCATTTATGTGTTTTAAGTAGGCTTTTCGCCCTCAGTTGAACTTTTAATAATAATCCTTCCATCACTTCCCTACCTCAGGTCCCACCCGCTATTTGCAGCGCTGACCTTTAAAGCAGGAAGTGACTGTTAACACAACCCCGGCAGCTGCAACAACGGCAACCTGCTTTACAGCATCGGACTCATCAAACACGGCGGTTTGTGCAGAATTTTCCTCCCTGATCAAGTGTACATGCTCCGACTCAAAACTTTACATTGGTGCCCTTAGCGATGGTGTCGACATGAAAGATCTCACTGGACACCTTGTTTGATGACAAATGCACCGTTATACACTCAATTGTTTCCAACAGCGGAGGGAGAATATTACATAAACCTCTGATGTAATCTTCTGAACATGACTCAAAGCACTGGGGAACCCCACGCAGAAGACTCAAAGCTCGTTTCTTTAAGAAAAGACAACATTGCATACATTTATTAGGGATGGACGCCAATTCCAATACATGCAAATCACCATTGTCCTTTATATGTAGTGTTGACATTATTGCAAACACTTGTCTCCCTGCTGTTTTGTGTATTATATTTTTATTATCTTAGGATAAAAAAAAACATTAACAATTACATGGGATGCCTTGTTCTGCATAACTTAACGTATACACAGTGGGAACAGGAATGGCAATGCTTTAGACATCATCACAGCCTCTTCATAACCCCCCCCTTCCCCTCCCAACCCACCCCCAACCCACTGCCCGCATGCAGTTTGCACTGCACAAAGACCAAAAGTCACGTGAGACAGCCTGCAAAGAGCACAAGAAGCATTCACAGTAAAGGAGGAGAGGAAAGAGGATGGGATGGAAGGGGGGAGGGGGGGGGGGGAGGTGGAAGGGTAAAAGATGAGAGGAGAAAGGGGGAAGGAGGAGAAGAGAGGGAGTGAAACAAAGTGACTGCAGCACTGGCCTTGGTTTAGACAGGAGAAGGAGCAGCATAGTCCTAGTATTTCATTCTTACTTCTCCCACACTTCAACTCCCATCTCCTGATTGTGGTACTCATTGTCTTTGACACAAAAAAAGTTTTATATACGCATGTATATATGTATATATGTATATACATATACGTATGTATATATATAAATACATTGTTATAGCTACAGCACCTTTTCCCATGGGGCAACAGTGTCAATACCTCGCACATGGTACATGGCCGTGCCAAAGAAAAACAAAACAATATATTGGTCAGGATATTTATCTTTTTTTCCCCTAAAGTTGGCATTTGACATGATGATATTCTATTGCCGTCTGGGGAAGGGACAAAGGTTCTTCTTTTGAGTTTATATTCAAGTTTTCTCCTTTTTTTCTGGTGTATAATTTCTTCGTTTCCTGTCGTTAAAAAGAGTTCACACTTTTGTGATTTGCGTGTGCTGCTCTTCATCAAAAGGTTCATTTTCCGGATCAGAGTCAGTGGTGTCAGAGTATCGATAATGGTCTGGCTCATTGTCGCTAACGTCCGGGGTGACGGATGTCGAAGTGCTTGCTTCTGAGTTCGAAGGCTCCTCCACGGTTTTCGTAAAATACAACTTCACCTGGAAACAAAATGAAACGATGCCGACTTCAGTCCGTGCACAACAATCATGGATATAAAAAAAATGATTCATTTGACAGACTCAAAGAGGTTATCAAATAAGATCTTTACCTTGAAGTTTGGCGAGAAGTAGCGATTAGCTTTGTCTTTGTTAGCCTTATCCAAGTCGTTCTTCGTGAGTGTCAGGATGAGGTAGTCCCTCTCCCGGTCGCTTTCCCTGCCGCCGTCCCTGCAGCTGTCCCTGCACTCGGTGCTCTGCGGCTGGCCCTGGCCCGGTGCCGGTACCCCCTGCTGGCTCTCTGCGTTGTTCACTGCCCCGTTCTCCATCTTGTCCCCGCTCTCCTCTGGTCCGGGGATGAAGAAGGTGTTGACCCAAAAGTGAAACATTTTGTCCTGGAGGGCGGAGGTGATGAGAGGAGACAAAGAAGTGTGAGAAGGAGCGTTTTAAACCAAACTCAAAGGATGACATTTATTTATGGGCTGGATCCTTCCTTTGTTGCTTTTCTTATGACATTTTAAGTCCTCCCCATTTTATTGCCAGAGTAGCTGCTAATGCTAACATTAGTCTGATCAGTCAATTATCATGCTTTGTTGTTACTGCTAATACTACACCTACTTGTTCCATTATCACTGGTGTTGTGGCTTTAAATCTCTCATTCATTGCTTTGTCTTTCTATTACACTTTTTAAGCCCAACACAGACGCAGCAGACGGCTGTTCAACATGTGTCTGGTTCTGCCTCTTAAGGGTCCCATATTATGCTTTTTCTGGTTTTATATGCCCTTTAGTGTGTTTTCCAAGTGTCCTGTGCATGTTTAGGCACATCTATGTGCAAAAATTCAAAGGCCTTGGAAACGCGGCTTCTTCTACGACCTCCTGTTAGCTGTAGCATTAGCCGCATGTAACGCTCGGTTCTAGCCCCCCTCGATAAAAATTTGTCAGTGTGACATCATTGTCAGTGTGAGATCACTGATCTAAGCCCATTGGCTCGTTGTGGCAAACCCTGCAGCTCATGTTGAAATTTCCGAGACGCTTGCTGAGCAACTGACCAATAATGACAGAGCGGATCGGCAGACCAATCAGAGCAGACTTGGCCCACGTGGGGTCTAACAGTGTGGGCTCAACAGAGTGCAGCTGACGGACTCAGAGCGTAGAGGGAGCAAGGAGGAGCAGTTCATGAAAACAGACACTTTTTTCGGACTTTAGCTATTGTGAACGTACAAAAGTAGGAACATAGATTAAATATACGAACCCCAAAAAGGGCAGAATATGGGCTCTTTAAGGTAGTTGCCACTGCTACTTTGTTAAATGTTGCTCGGTGCAGTGCTCATGGTGGATTCATGTTGGTTCTTTGTAAATAATAGTACATCTAGACCTGCTCTTTCTGTAAACTGTCTTTGAGATAACATTTGGGTTCAGCTATACAAATAAAACCCGATTGCTTATTAAACCAACAATGTGTGTCTCTATCTCTCAATACTTTCCAGGGGACAAGTGCAATGAAAATAAATCTTCTAAAAAGGCTGTGTCCTTCTGTCACTTTCCGCAGCTTTTACTCAAACGGGTTAACACAGCATTTACTTGGGACTACTTTCAGCGGCGGATCAATACACAAAGCCCATACCGCACAGAAAAAGAAACTTTATCAGGCTGATGTGATAAATGAAAAGGGTACATTGTTTATGATTTCTTTTCATGGAATTTGTTGACAGTTAAAAAGTTCTGAGTCTTGCAAGCATGATCTTTTAAGAGCAATAACTGTCAGCATCCAGCTGTAATGGATAATGTTTGTTTTTTTTCCTTCGACAAAGCAGATGTCATGAGAACAGCTGAAATATGTTACTGGTTAACGACCAACAGGAGAACCTGACAGTCACATATAAAACACACACACACACACACACACACACACACACACACCAACACAACTAACCTTCTTCATCATCTTATTCTGTTTATGGAAGAACTCCACTTTGATGTCTCCACAAACAGGCAGCGGCTGGGGGAACTCGAAAAACATGTGTTTCTCTTCGCGCCTTGTGTGAGCGGGGTTCGACGTGTGAATTTTGACTTTCAGCTGGTACACCACAAACTGGGGATCTGCAAAAAGTGTCAATATTGCCCACAGAGAGAGAGAGAAGGAGAGAGGGGAGTGCGGGTAAAGATGATGAGATTTTTGAGAGGACGAGATAGAAAACACACCCCCCAAAAAAAAACCCAAAGTGAGTTACGATAGGAGCAAGAGAGCAAGAAAGGATACGTATAAGTGTTATTACATGAGTTTGTTAGAAGAAGCACAGCACACCGTCACCTCCACCAGACAAGAAGTGCAAAAATATTATATTCAGATTAAGGGGGAGGCGAGGAAAGTTAGCAGATCACAAAACCTAACGTCCAAAGAGACCCAGAACCAGAGACACAGGACCCTATTCTGACAGACTGTCCAAACCGAACAGTGACTGAGGTAACACGTTGCATTTTAGAGAGATGTAACCCATCCCTCTGTCTGTCAGGGTGGATTTGGAGATGACATCATATGCCTGTAAGGTAGTCCTGGCCTGCTAGGAAATATGTCTACCCTCCTGCCTGGTGGATCTCTGGGGCCATATAAAAGCAGATCAGCGAAATCATCACAACAATAATGGATTAAAAGGCTCATTTACCCCAATGCCAATTCCCTTTCTTGAAGCCCTGAGGGATCGGCTCGCTCCTGTTTTTAACGGTACTGTCCCCTTAGAGAGAGAGAAGGAGATTATCACAAACAGGGCAACCTGGCCAGCCAATCAGGGGCACGACAGTACAGTAGGCAAACAAACACAAGAGCTCTACAGAGATGTATATAAATTTGTATACACAGATTTGCATCTAAGTAGCATGTTCCTAAAAACAAACAGTAATTGAACTTGGTGTGTGCATCTTAAACATTTGACACGGGACATGTGTGTTGTACATAAAGCGTGAAGGGGAAACTTGGTAATTACTGACCATCACAAAACATCAAGAGATATGTATGATGTTGAGCTATCATTAGCTAGCATCTCCTCAAGAAGCTTGATGAATGTGTGTGTGTGTGTATTGAGATGTCAAACTCAGAATAGGTCCTTTTTTTAAATGAATAAAAAAAGAGTTAGGAGGAAAGAGATAGATCAATACAGTCGAGGTGTTGTGAAAAAGGCACAGACATGAAGAGAATGTGCTTTTTCTGACTGACATAAAAAAACACGAACAAATTCAGACACAAGCAAGGCAACGCATTGTGTAACTCATATTTGCGCAGAAAAACACAGCATTATTTTCTCTTCTTAGAGCAGAGAGAGAACTAGAGTAGTTTTAAGACAAAGCGTTGACATTTAAAAAAAAAAAAAAAAGTATTGACCATAAAAATGCATTCATGCTTCATTATTAGCACAGAAACTTTACCCTGGGTCTCACCAGCACTTTCCAAGTTTGAGGACATGCAAAGCTCAGTTAAGAGTTTGGTTTCAGCCCGTTTTTCTGCTTTTTAGTAAAATCAAGCAAAACTGCCATGTGCCTCAGTCGCTGAATACAGGGGACAACAAGTGGCACTGTTTCACAAAAGTTTACAACACAGTCATTGCAATCGAGCCTTAAGCAAACACTGATATGTATAACTTAAGTTACTTATCTACACGGAAGAATAGTGACAATAAATCACAGTCCATGTTCTTTCATTCCTTCACTACTGACCGTCTGCTGTGCATAAGCTTTCCCTGTTATAGTCTGAGTAAAGAAAACCTGTGGTGAATGATGTATTTAAATATGCATAGAGTAGTATCATCAGCAGGTAAACAATTTAACACACACAGAGTCTGACTGTTATAAAAGCAATCCTCCTGAGGATGCTCAAATTAAAAAAAAAAAAATAGCTGCTTAAATGGATCCTTACTTAACTTTCTAAGAGTCTGGAGGGGATAAATCTGTTTAAATGTGACAGATAATAAGAGCCTGCACTTGTTGGGTCCAAAAAAGATAAAATAAAACAAATACTGCAGCAAAAGTCAGCCACACTTGAAAACCCGGCACAGGACTCTAGCTCAGATGACCCTCTCTGATTCTGTGGTGCTAAAGCGGAGCGTGGGTGAGCCCTACAGTGCACACAGCACATCCAAGGCTCTTGCTCCGTTTGAACAGCGGTGTGCATTGCCTACGCCCTAGTTTGGAGTTGAACATGAGCGTGACTCACTGCAGGTGCCCCCGCTGAACATGGGGAGAGTCTCGAACACCATTTTGTGGAAGAGGAGAGCCACCGGCTTGTACTCGAGCTGGTTCTTCAGCAGGTAGCTGTAGTAGCACACGTAGCGGCGCTGGCTCGGGATCGTTACTCCCTACAAAGACAGGATGGGTGTTAACAGATTTGTTTGTTTTTTAAGTGTGCGCACGTGTTCTGTTTTTAATGTATTCTGACATGACTGTGAATTAGGTAATGTCCATAATGATTCCTCAAGGTTTGAATAAAGGTGGAAGGAATGAATGACGGAAAAAATTGGTTCTCTTACAAGTTTAAAATCAAAGCCACAATTAAAGATGTCAGAATGTCATATATTTTCTACAGTTAGCTCCAAAGATGAATATTTCTGCTTTTTTTTAATCCTTGTCAAATGACTATCAGTAAACAAGTCCCTCAGAGAATTATCTGCATTTTTAACTAACTTGAAAACTTCAAATCGTCTAATTAAGGACATAATTTGTACAAAAAGAAAACAATGCAGTATTTAGCTGCATCACTTTGTGTTCAGCACTTTTCATCTCACCTTCTTGTCCCTTGTCCTGACTTCTCCATAAAAGTCGAGCGCTTCCTGGGCCTCCTGGAATTTACCCCGATGGAGGAGATAGGCGCAGATCATAACTCCGGTGCGGCCCTTCCCAGCCTTACAGTGGATGGCCGCCACATGATTGTCATCCTCGCTGAGCCAATGGTCCAGGTCTTCACAAAACGGCTTAATTAGCTCCAGCTGAGGAGGGTTGTGGTCTTCGAAGGGATACTGTGCAACTGATGCGTGACGGGGTGCAGGCCCACGCAAAGTTGTAACCAGAGAGGAGAGAAGAAAAAAAAAAAAAGGAAAGAAAGAAAAGACACATGGACAGGTCAGAGGAGAGGGAGGAGTAGATTTTAATCGATTCTTTGTGTCATCACTTTCAAGAGGGAAGGCATCTATGGAGTATGTGAAGCCGCCTACCTCTGCAGTTAAATTTGGCAGCATCGTAGTGTCTTTCTGCACAGCTGAAACGGGAAGAACGAAAATCCAGTTAGCCACCACAGAGAGAGGAAGTTATTGAAGAAACAAAAGAGCAATTCAGGTAACGACAAAATGTGGAACACTTACAGGTTGTAGATTTTGTAATGGTTTTTATGCTTTGAATCCAAAAACCTGTTTGCAGGAGAGAAAATCATGTTATTGTAAAATATGTATGTTTTCTCTAAGGCGTTTATTCTGTCACACCGTTACCGTTTAATATGACCACAACGCTGATAAAACTCACCGTACTACATCGTCTATATTGTTTCTGTAAACGCCTTCGAGTCGCTCTGCTGGAAAGCCCATAGCAATGATGTTTGGGTAGATATCTGGTCAGGCAGGGGGTCAAGGAAATGTGCATTGTGCATGACTGTGGAAGGAACCAGAGGTCTAGCTATGCTTTCAGCAGCTATGAAACAAGACTCAATGAAATGCATTTGTTTATATAAAATAGTCTTTTCTTAGAGGAACAACTACGAGGATGCAGAGATCAGCAGCAGAGCTCGAACAAAAAAAAGAAAATTCCAGGCAATGTCAATATGAGTGTGTCAGTGTGGTCATGGATAGATGGGAGCACAGATCAGTGTGTTTGTCTGTGTGTGTGTGTGTTGTGACAGATGGCCTTGACGGTGAGAAGCACGCAGTGAGGACGGGCGTTAACAGCGCTCCTGCATGAGCCAGGCCCACATGTGGGTGCACGAGGAGACTCTCCGCTCCATGACCTGCATTTATTTTTAGAGCACAAAGTTATATCGGGCCGATAGCAAATGTTCGGCTTAACTCTCTTCCGAGCTTCGCCGGACCAATTTGAATTTCTACCAGAGCAGCCAATGTGAAGAGTCTCAAAAAAAAAAAAAAAAAAAGGTTCTTTAAAACAGGCAATCCTGTGTGTCTAGCACACGCAGCAGGAGTCAGGTGTTCATTTCTGACATTCAGTGACGAGCAAGGGGAAACACCCTAAATGAACCACACACACCAGGATTCCAGCAAAAAAAAAAGTTAAAAGTTGTGATTACACCACCTCCCTCCTGCTAAACCTGGCTGCCTTGAGGGTCGCCGTACATCACAGAACCGGGCTGTGTGTGTCAGCGAGGGATAGTGATGGAAAATGTCTTGGCCAATTACATGGTGACATACATACAATCTTAAAGGCATACATCAGCGTCACGTTGCAGTGAAAAGAATAAATTGAGGTGGCATGCGTGTCTTTGAGACTCGCCTGCAACGCCTACCTGTAACTGAAGTGTGCCCGTCGCCACAAGCGGTGGGATTTCACACTTTAACCACTGACTAAAGGGCAACCTTTTCTTACACTTCCTGTGCCACGGTATCAAAAATAGAAAAGCTGAATAATTCTAATAGGATGTGTCTGTTTCGTTTGAGCAGACCTTATTTCACTGAGAGTCAAATCACTTTTTAACTGGTCAGAATAATTAGACACACACATCTGACAACTCTGGCAAAAAAAAAAAAAGATGGCTCTTTGCACAACTTTGCTGCTGTGCACACTTGCCGGTTATATATAACATATCACATGTATTTTCGGTTTATTCAAAACCTGATCATTCCTTGAAGAGTAGGAAAAAGCTAAATCTTGAATGTGTCCCAAATTTTCTATTTGGACATCAATTTAAATATGACAAATATCATCCTCCGTACAAAAGTACCTGCCCATGCAAACAATCAACAACAGCCCTTTCATCGTAAACACACACACACACACACATCATTGATCAGTCAGCAAACCCTCTCGGACAGAAACATTCAGGGATCCAGTGCAGCTAGATGCACATACAAGGTAAAAGCTATTTCAAATAATTTAGCAGGGAAATAAATAACAGGCAGGAGTCTTCAATTGTCTAGTAATAATTTTTTTTTCCAACAAAAGCCCTAATTCAACAAAGGTCAATTTAACCCAGGCATGAATTCAACAAGCCCAACAGTAAATGTATGGTCTAATGTGTAGCTACTGCCCCATAAACTCGTCCATTAATGCCTCAAAGACCTCATTAGGCGCCAAATGACAGTTTTCTTTGCTACTTGATGGGCTACTCTAACCATGGGACCTAAAAAAGATCCAAGTCTGACTATTATAAGTGTTTTTTAAAAGCTGCACAGCTCCCAAGAGAGCCTCAGCCCAGGGCATGGGGGGCTTGGTCTCTGCAGCTGGGAGGAAATGCACATACAAGACCCCCCTGACGGAAGCTCCAAGGAGGAGGGAGAAAAAAAAATTAGAGAGAAAAATCAGCCGTTTCAGGCACGCCTTTTCTTTAAAGCCAGCCCTGCCTCAGCTCCATGCATATACACAGAATCCACAACTGAAAGCAGGAGAGAGGGTGGGGGGGAAAGGGAGAGTGGGAACCAGCGAGCTCTGAGCAAGGAGGGGGTGGGGAGGACAGGAAAGGAGGAGAGCAGAGGAAAGGGGGCAAGCAGAGGGAGGGAGAATTAGAGTGGGAGTAGTAAAGAAAAAGAGCAAAGGAGAGGTGGTGGGTTGAGAGGGTAAGAGAGGGAGAGAGCACTCAGACAGCAAAGCTGATACAAGATCACTGGCAACTCTATTTTAAGGGCAATTCCCCAGAACTGTGATACTGCATTACATAACTGCAGAGAGCCCATATTGTTTTTAGACACCGTGCCAAAAATGATAAAAGGGATGGTTTGAAAGGGCCCACATCTGAACAAGAGGAGACTGTACGTCCAAAGAAAGATGTCACCTTTGAATGGTGCGCCGTCTTCACACCTGCAAAAAGCACCAAAGCCCCAGAAAGACATGAGACGAGCCTCACCAAATTGTAACACCAGGTGAGAAACGCTGTGAAGCACAAGTTGAAGCATCAGCAGTCGCACATACATCCCAGCTAACATTTTGGTCTGCTATCAGTTCTACATGCCACATATAGAGGCAGAAATGGAGAAAACGTGACTAGAAATCAGCTCTACATCTGCTTTTTTAACAAAAGGAACACCTCTACCCAGCAGTTATCAACTTAATGCAACAATACTGATAATAATCAGAGACCTGTACATTTTTTCACATGCTGCACAGATCAAGACAGGGCTGGAGCTTATCATGTAACATTTTGTTAAACTGCCCAATACTTTTGTCAACAAGTCTATTAATCTTCCTCGCAAGTTATTGAAGCCCAAGTTGTAATCTTGAATTTTTTGGATATGACCAGTGGTCAAAACACATAAATGTAATTTTATGTCATAATGAAATGAAAAGCAAAAAAAAAAAAAGCTTTGTTAAATGCCAGAAGAGGAAAATCAGGGATTTTTTTGAGTGCATAAAACAACTTAAAATAAAATCTACTGATCCAAAGTTTGGATTTCAAGATGTTAACTGTCATGAATTGACTACTTCTTCAACCTCTTACTCCACAAATCGAAGGAGCTCGACTGTAATGAGCTGAAAGTGGTTACAAGTCTTCATACTAAAATCATGTGCATACATCCACAACAACAACAACAACAACAACAACAACAACAACCATTACCATGCACCAACTCTCTGCACTGTCACATATTAGATTGTGCAGTGAGTTGGCCATATATAGTTTATCACCAGCCAAATAAGTCAAGACACTAACTTTAGTAAGTAGACACAGTGCACTGAGGAACCAGGTCAACTATTATCAGTGGCAATGGATGAGGAACAAGTACTGCAGAAGGGACAGAAATAGCAATACTCCAACCTGGAAATTATTTTATCTCTATAGATAAAGGGGACCAGGAAACATTAATTAGATTTTCCACATTTGTTGCAATCCATCAATAAATACTCACCCATAGAGGACACATGTGAGGTGATCTTGCATTTTAAAACAGAATCCTACCATATACTGCATTAATAACACACACACACCTACACCTTAAACAGAACTATGTATATTCTAAATCTAACTACCTGCAAACCCCAACCTTAGAAAAAAGAAGACCTAATGCTTCTAACAACCTCCAGCTAGGTCCACCAAAGGGGGAATGGTATGCGAGTCGAAATGCCTGTCGTTATTCTTTAAACACACAGTTATGTCCAGTTGAACGGGCTATACCAGTTTAATTTGACTCCCGACATTTATGCTCACTGGTTTGACAGATCCACCATCTTTCAAACATGCTGGTGGTGACAGCAGAGCTTTCGCTGTCTGACCAACTAGCCAGCTAGCCAGGTAGCACACAAGCTACCTACATCACGTTACTGACACTTCCAGCTCTCTCTCTCTCTACACCAAATGAAATAACAATAATAATAACACATTTAGTGCAATAACAACAACACATTTAAGTGGTCAAAGTGCAGGGTGGTGAGAAAATAGGGATCACATTAAAAAAAAAAGGATACAAGTTAAGTCCAAGTCGAACCCATCTTCTTGGTATCTCCTTTTGTTCCGGCTGACCATTTCTTTTATAAACATAGCCATTGTAGCAGCTGACAGGAGTCTATATGGGGGGAAATGGTGAAAACAGGTTTTTTTCTTTAAAAAATCTGGTCCTGTGTGTCGCAGACAGTTGGGAGGAGGGGGGGAGGTCTGCTCTCCTTGAATTTGTGCTGGTCCTCACAGAGCCTTGCTAGCCAGCAGAGCTAGCAGTGCACTGTCGGTAGGATTAGAAAGGCTTCCTCTGGATCATAAAGACGGGCCTTTGCTCTGCTCCTCCGTTGCAGGCCCGACTTTTCTCTCTCTCTCTCTCTCTCGCTCTCTCTCTCTCTCTCCCCCCCCCACCCCCCCAATCCTGCGATTCGTCTTTTGCAAAACAACCCCCTCCCTCGTAATAAAATACATGCAGAAAAAAAAAACCCCTTTTGGATGCCAGACAAAAGGTCCCAAGTTTGACGGCTCAATCGCAAAGCCGGCGCAATTGACACAGCGAGAGGATAAGAGAACTCACCGGGTTCCCCCCCCCCCAAAAAAAAAAAAAAAAAAAAAAAAAAACCCGTATCCAGTTACTCACACGGAGCTAGCTCGCTAAGCTAACTAGCCAGCGCAGCTAGCTAGCAACAATAGCTTGTGCTGCCTCCTTCTTCGATCCAAAAGCCTCCTAACGATTCAACATTGTCGTCGACTGATTGCCGAGAACACATCTGAAAAGAAAAAGAGTGACAGGCTCCACCTTGAATGTATATAGACTATACAAAAAAAATCAGAAATCTGCACAGATTGATTTGACAGTTCCGTCCCGAGGAATCATCTTTCTTTTCTGGTTCCTCTCGCTCCAGCTGAACTCTCAGGCTCCCATCATGGCCTCCACCGAAGGGAAAAAAAGAAGGTAGAGCAGGCTGGGATTTTAGAGCAGATATCCCTCCGCCTTCACGACATAGTTCCGCGTTTTAACAATTTTGGGTATTTACTGTGTTTATTTGTAATTCGTCAACAGTTAATACAAGATGGTGAAGAACAAACGCGGACAAATGTTATCACACATCAGACCCCCTCCCCCCCCCACAAAAAATAGAGCAATAAAGCGGTTATTTCGTGCTTCTGGCGGAAGGATAAAACGAGCCCCGCATGCGACGCTCCCTTCTGTCAAAGTGGTCACGTGTGGCTGTAATTAGGGAAGTTTCTAACATAATCGTCACTTTTCGCAGTTTAAACTGTCATTTCAAGGCTGCGTGAAATGTATTTTTTGTAACACATTAAATCCTGTTGCAGTTACAACAATATAACAATGGAAGTAGATTTATTTTATGCATCGTCAAAACGTTCTTTGTTCAATATCCTCACATTAAGGCAAACTTGTATGTTAATTGCTTCGGTCATATAACAATAAAGAATACACTGTAAAACTAAATTTACAAATTAACATTTTTTATTTATAAAAATGTGTATTCTTATTAAAACTTTTGTAACAAAAGTTATAAAAAATGTTGAAGATAAGGATATCCAACCTATATGTATCTGATGTGGAGTTTGGATATAAAGACCTACAGGGTTTCTGTAAGATTTTAATTCTTTAGACTACTCAATTACGCCACATGGTAACAGAAAATTGTATGACAGGCATTTAAAAAAAAAAAAATCAATTAACAGTTTAGTTGCCAAATTTTGCTGGTTCAAACTGCTCAAACTTACCTATTAACTGATAATATTATCACTTTGTTAGTTTTGGACTACTTCAGAGCCGTGGAAATGTCACCTCAAACTGTTTAAATCTTAAATTATAAAGAGCAATCTAAAAATCACGTATTAAAAAATTAATTGTCATGTTAATGGATGGAAGAAAACATTACAAGTTGTATCCCAATGGTCCCATCTATTATTGTTTTATGAGAGGGTTTCACATTTATAATGCAACATGATCCTTGACACAATCTCTCCTCTTGAACTTTAACATCAGCCTACATTAAGAGCTTCCTCACACATCCAACATGACAGCCTTGCAAGTAACCAATTCAATCTGTTAGCTTGCGTTTACATAGTAAGATTAGCCTTGCTCATTACTTTCATATTTTTGTTGAACATTTAAGGAGAAATTAGACTTTTTTCTTTACGCCTATTTGAAGAACACATATGAGGTGTTGAATTGAGGTTCTTCAGAAACATCAGCCCAGATGAACAGTATAAGGAACTTCTGGGGCATCTCTCAGTGACATGGCATGATGAATGCACATTAGTTGGGAGATTTTATTTAAGTACTGAATGTCCAGTTCAGTATAGTTAAATGGGGTTACCTGGAACATCGCAGACGATTTGATCCGATGTGAGGCGAATTAGGAATCTGCTTCTTACAGGGAAGATTAGTTCTCCTCATAAAAGAACGCTCATCTCAAGCAAATTTAGCTCTTACAGATTAATGACTGGTAAAATGAATCAGTCATTTGAGTTCAATGAACCAGTTCTTAAGAGTAGTTTGAAAAAAATATCATGATCGCCTTCATCTGTTAGGAAGGATCTGACAGGTAAAGCCAATGTGAAGCTGAACTCAGTGTTTTTCAGTTCAGAGTATGTAAACAGTATTTTAAAGAATATCTCCACTATTGGTTGTCTTTGCTGTTGGTTATTTATCAGACACAAAGAAGCGTATGTATGTCAAGTACTTCTTTGTTTTGTTTTTCAACCAGCAGATGGCAGCGTTGCACTTTTAGTTTTGCAGCCAAAGAATGCATCAATGCCCAGTCGACTTCAACCTTATGTCGATAAGTGTGCACCTTGTACACACAATAGTTAATGCCAGGTATGTTGCGTAACCAACTGCACACAGATGGATTCAGGACAAACGCATCCCTGAAAATAAACATTATAATCTATTACATGAGGACAAAGGGGTTATATCTTATCTAACTGGCAAATGATCTCAGTATGAAAGAGTCAGCAATGATTTAACAAACAAATCTGTTACTTTATTACTGAATTGGACAACCTTTGTCCTTCAGGTCTTTATTATTATATGAATGCACATGCCCTCTCATACAATCACACAGTTGTCAGAGACATTATAGACAACACCAGTCAGAGATTCGTGCAGTTTCTGATTTACAATGTTGACATTTTCAGAGTAAGGCACTTTCACATTTTGACACATTTATATCTAGGTTGTATTTCCCAACAATATGAAACATGATGAATTAATCAACATCCATACATGTAAAGAGGCGCTTTAGGTAGTGAAAAAAACTGACACCGACTCTCATTCAGCTCGTATACTAATAACATGACCATTTCCATAAAATGCTATCAAAAAAGTGAAATCTATACGTTTCTTTTATGTATCACATCCTTCAGATAATTACATGCAAATATCAAAAATGTCTTCTGTTTTGGAATGTGCTCCAAAAAAACCCAACTAAAAATAAAAAAAGAATCTCAAGTTAATTTTAATTTATTAAAATACATAGCTTAAGTTAATTTGCATATAAACATACAATGGATTTATAAATCACATTGTTTTATAGGAAGGTAAAAATTCTATTTCTTAACTGCTGTAAGAAGATTCATTTTGGTTTGGTGAAGACTTATATAAAACACCCACAACTCATTATTTGTAGCAAATACATAATTCTTAATGTGCATATTTTATAAGTGATTTTACAAAAATCTATCTAAAATACCCTCTTAAGAACCTCTTGTATCCTTTTACAGTACGCTGTTGTCTGGCCAGCTGGATGACTATGTCTACTACTTGTCCTTCTGCAGCGAGGTGTAGTACTCCACCAGCACCTTCCAGGCCTTTGGGGCCATGAAACCTTCCGGAGGGTTCTCTCCGCTTCGAGCCATGTTCCTCATCTTGGTTCCAGAGATGAATTCAAAGTCAGCATGTCTAAGATGGGCGAGACAGCAGGATAGTTCGTTAGATGTGAAAAAAAAAAAATCTAACAAGGGAGTTGTCTTGTTTATGCTATAACCATTTACAGTGCCGACAGGAGAAAACATGGGGTAAAAGATGGTTCACATTCTTATGAAATTCAGCTTTGGCGTAAAAGGATGCAATGCAACACTGTATTATTATTTCACAGCAAGTCTGAAAAATGTAGTGACACATACATCTGCAATGATTACTCAGTGAATCAAATATTCAATTGAAAAACAAAATCACCAGCTATGCTAATGGTTTTTATTTATTTATTTATAAATTTATCCTGGCAGACATGTCAAATATATGTTGTTCAAACTTTCTATTTAGCTCCAGTGAGGAAGTAAGGCTGACATTAATAAGAATGGCTCTTTATGAACCACCAAAGCCAGCAGGATTGACTGTTTTTATATGGTTATTTTGAATACCTATTACACTACCACTGGGTAGCTAAATATTTCTTTCTAACAAATAACTGCAGAAACAGCCATTTTCTACATCTATGAAGACAAAGATTTACAGTAAGTGATACGTGGGGCAGCTAAGAGAAAGCAAGAGGAGATTTTGTCATTAAACATTGGGGCGCTGATGGGTTAGTGGTTAGGTCGCACCCCATGTACATAGGCTGTAGACCTCAAAAGAAAAACATTAGTACAGATGTAAAGGACAGGATCTGTAAACAACAGGTACTGTTTTTTCTACAGGTGTCCCTAAATTTGACACAAAGTGAAAGTACCTTTGTAGACCTCTTTTTGCACAAGGGTTAAGAGATAATTTGTTTCATTTAGACTAATCATTAAAAAAAAGAATAAACAGCAGACAACGGGACAATCTGAAGGTTGGTAAAGCTCTAAGGTTCTCAGGCTGCTGTAATATTCATTCCAGATTATGATAAAAAATAACTGCAGACTTCTTCTCTCTTACCTGGCTTTGTCGTAGAAGTCCATAGCCTTCTTAGTCTTGTTGTATGCAGCCACCCTGAAGGGGATGATCTCCACAGAGGTGAGACCTGGTGCCATGGTGAGGACCTTGCCCCCGTGAGTGGGTTCATAGAGGTCCTGTTTAGTTTCTGGGTGAGGCATGCCAGCAGGGTCCCGGCCAACAATGTAAAAGTTTGCTCCAGCGATCATTCTAGCTCTACAGTGCCACTGAACCTGATGAGATCGGGGTAGTTATGAAGGTTAATATTCAATCATGCTTAAATGCTTGAGCTAAACTGATCTCATACACAAAGTACTCCCCACCTCTGTGGGCCCAGCATACATCATAGGTGAGGGGAAGATGGCCACAATGGTGTTGGCCGGGTCCAGGACGCCCTCCTCCAAGACAGCAGCATGCTGCTTCATCCGCCAGTCCAGAGGCACGTCGTCGTCTTTGGTCCAGCCTCCGAGTGGGTGCAGCAGGAGGACTGGATTCTTGTAGCCACGATCCAGAAGGCGCCGCTTGGTGTCCTGCATCAGCAGGGCATGACCGTTGTGTACGGGGTTACGAAGTTGGAAAGCAAAAATGGCATCTGTGGAGGACAACATGAAGGAGAACATAAAACATTTCATAAAGCTGTAGTGCCTGTAGTAAAAGATGTGGTATAACACTCTAGTCACAGCAGTGCCAGTCAACAAATCCCATTAAAAATGTGTGAGGGAAGGAAAGAAGTATTATTTTGTGCTATAGTATTCCCCCTTTAGACTCACTAACATCAAATGTGAAGCACAGAGCAGTACCAAACAAATGAACTATTGGTTTTAAGCTGACACAATAAAGCATTAAGCTCTTTCCAACTTTAAAAATATATTTCTGCTTGGGTTTAGGAGCACAGACGGGCTGAAAGTTTGTTAATCTTTTCATGGGGTTTGTTCACTTTAAGGTTACACAAAGTCTTTACAGGCCTAATCCATTCAGTGCACATCACAACATGCTTTCACCAGTATATAAACTAAGGATGGGACCACTGGGCAGCAAAGAATACTTACTGTAAAGGGAAAATATGCCTTAATTCATACTATACTGTTTTGCGGTGAAGACAATTAAATGACACAATCTTCAACACAACATTCATGTCAAAGTGAAAGTTAAACCATGTGATCACACGCCAAACATTAGCATGCTCATTCAAATTTACCATTTTTTGTTTTTCATTTGGTCCTTTTCTCAAGTTCTTCTGAAAGACAGATGGGGCAAAGGAGCTAAACAAATTGCTACTGTGTTACTTTTTTTTTAACCAGCATCCATGTTTATTGGATCGCTGGAGATGTAATTCAAAGTCTCAACATCTACTTACAACCAAAATGCAGAGTTTGTTTTGGTATTCTTACCTGCTTTCATGTCTTTGAACTTTTGCTTGAGCTGCTGTGGAGTGAGGCGGTACTGGTCAAGTCCATCGTTCCATTTGATTCGCTCCAGAACCTCCAGGTCACCACCGACCAGCCAATCACCTCCCTCCATAACCATCTGCACAAGGTGATGAAAAGAGAATACCACACCTGTGACTGCAATTAGTATTCATATCCGGGTCAAATAACTGCCTGAGGTGAGCTGGATGGAAAGCAAACAATGATGGCTACTGATGGATCTAAGAGGGTAAATATGCTGTTGACACAGAAATGCTAACTTTGTGTTGAAAACATTTAGTGAATGCTTTATTACCTTAATGTAAGGGTGCTGTGGACATGTGGTGCCCCACTGCCTGGCACAGCGTTCCTCCTTACGATGTTCATAAAACTCGGGGTTCCTAAGGACAGCCACACGTGAACCCTGGTACTCCAGAGCAATGGCCGCACAGCCGTCCAGCTGCTGTTTGGTCTCAGCGCTGACAGGCAGGACGATGGGAACAGTCAGGTTGATAGCCCCGCCTGAGAGAGAAGAGCAGGCAGTGATAGCAACCATGGCAGGTATCTTTTCTGAAATCTTATTACCAATAAACAGAACCATTAAGATGATTTGCGAGTTGCAATTAATTCAAATATTTTAGCTTGTTGCTATTGGGCGTGAACTTGTGAGCAAGCAAGAAAAAGTTTGTAAAGAAAAAAAGAACTGAATTATTAGCTCCGTTATTTAGCTAAATGATTTGAACAGTTCGCTTTACAGTAATGGATTGATGGTTTGAAAAGTCAGCTCATCCTTATGAACAGTTTGCTAAAAGTAAGGGGGTCAGAAGTCAGAGGCAAAACAATAAATTAGCTTTAAATAATGGATAAATGGCTGCAATTTCTAATTTCTGCCATTCAACGTAGTGGGTGCAAAAAAGCAAACTACCTGACTACCTGATTTAAATATTGACATTTTAGTATGAAAAAATCCAATATCCACTTTTCTATTGGAATTAACATTTTTGAAATCATTCAGAAGACAAACGGTTGGGAACTCACCTTGAGTATATAAAGTCATATAAATATATCTTAATGAAAATGTGAGTTTATTAAAAAGAAAGTTAACATCTGTGATGTCTAGTGGGGCTGTGTAGTCAAACTATGATGGGCACACTGAGTTTTAAAAGGCAGGCATTGGAATCACACGTTTTGAAGGTGTGATTTTACATTTTGATCCGTTAAACAGATTTTGTTTTTTAAAATTTTGATTATTATAAAATTTAGTGGCTAAAATCATTAAAAGAAATTGAAGAAGATATAGTTAAATCAAAGGTCTCTGACCAACTCCTTCATGGTGTCTTACCATTATGTTTGGATGCAGGGGGTTTCGCTGGTTTGGTGGAACTTGGTCGGATTTCTGAGGTATGTTAGTTTAATGTGACAAAAGAAGAAAATCCTTTTGTCTTTTATTGTCCTTAATAAAGAGAGTCTAAGACAGAAGCTTCTCAGGATGCACTACATCAGTGAAATAACTGGAGAATCATAAATGATTCAAACTGTCACAAAGGGAAGAACGTCATTTATCATTTGTCCTGAATGATGGTAAAACAAGTAAGTTTCCTTCATAAATGTCAAGTCAGAATATTATTATTGAAACCACTTTACCGATATGTTTTTGTATGTGGCTGTTGTACCCCTGTCTCAGATTGTGTCCTTGATTCTTTATTTGTTTTCCATTTTCTTCTTTATTTCTAAGAAGACCACTCTGTGTGTGTGTGTGTGTGTGTGTGTGTGTGACTGTGTGATTAGGGCTAGGACTTAGACTCTGGTTTCATTGGTTTCTTTTGTCCCCAACACTTTACTGTTGTTCTCCCCCTTAAAGAGTCCTAGAAGAATCACACGTACACCTTCCATCTGTTGCTGATGTTGTCACTTTGAAAGGGAACAAGCGGCTTTTATGGTTGATGCTGTGCTGCTGTTTTGTGTCCTGGCAGATTATAAGAAGAGTAAATATGCTGCAGCCGTCTCTTACCGTCCAACAGGTTGCCAAAGTGCAAGACCTGCAAGAACTCTCTCTCTCTCATGAAGCCTTTCAGAGGGCTCGCCCAGCCCTCTGCCAAAACCTGCACCCACTGCAGATCCAACTGAGGACAAAAAAAAAAAATTACTCATTATAAACTGCAGGAACTACTGAAGACATGTTTCTACTTCTGGCAGACTAAGATTTACCTACACTGATGGAATTCATTGGTTGATGCAAATCTTGATACGCTTATCAACATTTCTGTAGTTGCTTTTTGAATAAAAAAAACTTCATAAACAATGTTTTCTTTGAAACCTCAATTTAGCTTTAACTGTTTGCCTGTTTCCCATGATTTTAAGACCTTCAGTGTCAAACCATATAAAGTCTCATTGTGCTGTGTTTGAATGAGACAAACAGAGCTTCTTATGAACAGGCTTTAACCACATTTATATCAAGCAACAACTCACTTGGCTAAAAGACTTAGAGCATTATAAGGGCTGGATAACTGTAATCAAGAGGACTGCTTTACTCTATTATTATATATACACGCTATTTTTTTACAGTTTTAAAGGCCACGCTTGAACAAAACGTGTCCCCTGATTGATTACTATCTTCATTAGGGTGGTTGCCTAAGTTTTGGCACACTTCTCCTCCCACAGCTTTTGCGCCACACACATAAATAAGGTATCAAAACGAGTGGCTCTGGGGCGCTGGTGGTGTAGTGGCTGGTGCATACCAGGTGTGTTTAAAACGGAGCAATAATGTGTGTCAAGCTCGTAAAGCGGTCGTTTTAGTGCTGCAGCTCCTGGACAAGCCTAAACTATCCCACATTTGCTTGACAGTCACGCAACTGATTTTGAGGATTTTACTGTTTTGACTCATGTTTTCTGCCACTGAAGTCACAGTCTGAATGGTAGATTTAAATAATTATCTCCAAGTCCAAACAGATCAGTGATACTAGTTTTAGTTGTCAAGCTGTTTGAGGTTTAGTGGGCAGTGGTTAGCCCATAGGAATACATTGACGGAATGTTTAGTTCTGCCGTCGGGATTTGAATGTCAATTGATCAGTGTGCAGCTGCAGCTAATAAACAGTGGGTGATGCAATGAACTACAGGGGGCTAACCCTTTCAATACCACAACACAAAGTTGTGCAGTTTCACCAGTTAACCCAGTCCAATGTGCATTGAGAGCAACCACCCTTCACAATTTTCTGCAGGAATTGTCTAGTTTCATTTTTATTATCCTTATTACTTTGTTTGGCCATTTTGCCTTTATTTGATAGTATGGGCTGAAGAGAGACAAGGAAATGTGTGGGGAGAGAGAGAGAGAGGGGGATGAAATGCACCAAACAGTCTTGGGTGATAATTGAACCAGCGATCAGTTTGTTGAGGACTGTTGCCTCTTTACATGGGGTACCTGCTCTACCAAGATAACCAGCGCCCCACGTCTCTAAAATTCTATTAAGATATAATTCACTTTCACATAGACTATTAGAGTGCTCACTTTCACTTATTCTGTAGATATGTGTGCTAGAAATCTTCATTCAGCTTCAGGGATCCGAGCTCAGCGGTCAGTAGGTTTTTATGTCTTTATTAGTACCCAGGGAAGTCAGAGTAGACCATTAGCACAAGCGGAGCAGTGGGGAATGTTTATGGGCTCATCATAAGCGGCACTCTGCCACCTCTAGTGCGGAACCCCTCGCCCCTCTGCTGGGTGATAAAATAAAGCCTATATACCAGAGATGTGGGTTACCTTGGTGATGCTGATGGTGGGGAGCGTGTTTGCGTCAGCCACAGCGAGATTCAGCTTGTTCTCCGGGACAAAGAGCTCCTTCAACTCCTCCATGATCTCGCTGGGTACAATATCCTACATACGAAGAGAAAAAGGGTCTCATCAATACTTTATTGTTGGATAAGGTGAGTTATGCAGGACTTACACTAAAGATTATTTTCATTTTTAATTCATCAGGCAATTCTTTTTTGAATGACCATTTCACTTGAGGGTCCATTACTTTACATTTTGTTATTTTTGAAACAAAAAGAAAGCAGCAAATCTTCCCATTTGAGAAGATCAAACCGACGAATGTTTCACATGAATGCTTAAAAAAATTATCGAAATGATTCATCAATCATCAAAAAAAACTGTAAAATGTTCCTCTTGCCATCAACCAAACAATTAACTTTCAAGGTCTATGCTTTTGTATGACCTTATAACATCTCTGGGTAATTGGTTGTTAATTATAGATGATACATTTTTAGTATTAAACTACAGGTAATTGGGAGGTCTATTTCAAAAATATTTCAGGTCAGTGATATCGCTTACCTTTAGCTTTTCAGCTTTCTAAAATAAGTTGATCGTATATAAAGGCACTTACAATACATACTGTTTATATTTAACGGCATGGTGTCATGATTGGTTCTTGTGTGGTTTCATATTTTGTTAAATTCAGTGTTTAGATTAATTTTCCTGTTTCATTTTCGTCATTTTTTATCCTTGTGTTTCTCTATGTCCTGTGTGTATTGTCACTGTTACATGCATGTGTTCTCTGTGTGTCTTTAGTGTTTCCTGTTTTATTTTGAAGTTCTTGTCCCCAGTGTTTGATTGTCCTGATTGTCTTCACCTGTGTCGTTAGTCTCATGTGTGTGATAACTACTGTGTCTATTTAGTCTCTCAGTGTTCCTTCCCTCTTCTTGTCAGTTCGTCAAAAGTTAACCTTCCTTGTGTCCCTGAGCCTGTACTGCGGATTCCTGTGAACTTTTTCCGTGTTTGGATATTGATGGACTTTGTGTGGAAGTAAGCTTTGTTTTGTGCATTTTTGTCAAAAATAACTTGTAGTTCTGTAATTGGGTCCCACTCCTTGTTTTCCCCAAACATGACACAAGGATACAACCAAAACACTCAAAGAATCTTCAACTTCATCAAATATATAATTAGCTGCTTCAAGCACTACAATCAGAAGACTCCTCCCATTCTTTCCTTAAAAAGTTGTATTCATGATCATAGGTCTAGGATGTCGTTGTTCCTTTTAGTACACCAGTTATCTTCGGTGGATGTGCCTGTTGTTCTACATCTGAATACGATCATGAATGGAGTTAGAATCCCTTCAACTTAAAATAATGAACCTGCTACCAAACGGCCACAAAACAAACTTTTCTGTTCAACTAATTTTCAAAATACTTACCAACTAATACCTACTTTTACAACACATTGGAGACACAAGTCCAGCACAGGAGTATGAATAAACACTGTTTTTGGTTGATAGTTTGATTTGTGAACATGAACATTACTTAGTTTAGTTCTGTCAGTCTTATTGGAGAACATTGTTGATTACTGAAAATGATTCTGAAGTGGTGATGATGTGTCATTTTACTCTCACTTCTTCTTCTCAAAAGAATCTGCACGATCATAGTGAACCAGGCAGATATTTGTGCCGTTGATATAAAGAATGACGCAGCTTGTCTTGGGGCGTTATTTGGCAACATATTCATTGGAAGAGAAGGCAAACTATAGGCAGCTTATGTTGTTGACACAGGGTTACTATAGGATTATTAGTAGTAGTAGTAGTTACCAATGCCTCATTGACAGGCCTGTAAACAAAACTTTGTTGAGTCGACATATATTAACTTCATCAGCAAACTGTCGTCACTACAGCCAGGACCTTGGCAGCAAAAGCATTGTTACATCCTGGGTTTGTATCCTTGTCTGGATCTGTTATACCTTAGCATATTTACAAATCATTACATTAATGTTGCATGGCTGCAACACTTTACCACTTCCTTTCTCAGCTGTGAAAAGTAACTCAAGAATTACTACAGCGAACAAATGTTTTTTTTAAACCCCCAACTATTTGGAGACCTAAGAACCTTTGAACATATATTGTTCGGATAGCATTTTGTAGTATTTTCCTTTCATCTCATTCATCACTTTTGATGAATCACTCCCCCCACAGTGATCAAGCACGGCTCTTCCTTACTAACCCATCCCCTGGCTTGTGAAAGTCTTCATAGCTTGCCTGGATCATCCAGGACAAACAAAGAACAGTGATCTGCTTCATTCAACATTTAAAATGAATGTTTGTTTTTTGGTAGCCAGTGAGTATAGCCCATCCTGGACTATATTGAATTTCTTTCAGGATTTGAGCTGCTTGTTTGAATAGAGTTTCTGAATATGAACAGGTATTAGCATTTGACACATATGATGGATGATGGAGGCCTACAGTATGTGAGATGCAGCGTGAACAGAACAATGGCGTCGTTCTGTCATAGAAGTCTGGAAAAGTTGTCCAGGGTTTGTTTGACAATCTTATGCAAGGAAAACATATGATCATATGGTGTCTTTCACCCACCTGGTCCCTGAGCAGCTCCAACACTTGATGGAGGCATTCGTTCACCGTGAGCTCACCGGTTTTAAGCACAAGATCGGGAATCTCAGGGCGTTCATAATCTGAGTCAATCCCAGTGAAACCTGGCAACAAATGTAAAAAACCATAACTAGAGTCAACCACAGGTTTGAAGAAAGGGCTTGGCAGTACTTAGTATGATTTGTAGAGTGGCAGCACAAAAAAAACGAGTTGAACATTGCCAAACAGACCTTTGATCTCTCCAGCACGAGCCTTCTTGTAAAGTCCTTTTACATCCCGGCTCTCGCACACCTCAAGAGGAGCATGGATGAACACCTCGAAAAATGGCAACCCGTTACTTGCGTGAATCTTCTGGCTTCTCACGATCCTGTGGGGAAAAAAATGGTACATATGATACAGTCCAAAGTATAGAGATGTGTCCCAGATATTCAGCCAAAAAATAAATAAATAAATATGCTCTGACCTTGGAGAAAGGAGAGATGAAACTTGTGACGCACACCAGCCCGGCGTCTGCAAACAGTCGGGCCACCTCAGCAATACGACGGATGTTCTCCTCTCGATCGCCTGCTGAGAAGCCAAGATTCTTGTTCAGGCCGTGGCGAATGTTGTCTCCATCCAGTGAGTAGCAGGGGATAGCATGAGACACCAGGAACTCTTCCAGTGCAAAACTGATGGTGGTCTTTCCGGCCCCGGACAAACCTTGTGGAGGAATGGGATAAGCGTGACACCGGGTTGAACGAGATTCTGGTTTAACACTAGTCCATATTAGATGAAGTCTACTTGCAGCCATGGTCTAATTTCATTGAATCCTTAAGAGATTTACCGGTGAGCCAAATGGTACAGCCTCTGAAGCCTCCCCTGGTTCCCACAACCTGCCCCCTCTTGCTTCGGCTTACATGGTGGGCCTGGTAAACCACATTAGTCGATCTGTTGAGATCCTAAAACACAAGAAATGTCCTTGGATTGAGGCAAAATAAATACAGTTAGTGTGATGAAATCATCCAACAGGACCTTGTTACATAATTAGATTGGCATTTCATTACACTTTACACAGTAATTAAAAGTAACTGCATAACTGGTTTTCCATGCCCTTTTCAAAGTGACTATGTGGACCAGGCTGTGAATAAATGGGGTTGTATTGACTCTTAGAGGGGAGGGGTAAAGGGGGAGGATGGCATGGAGGGAGGGAGAGGACTGACTGGACAATGTGTCCAGTGTGCTGCCTGCAGCCCAGCGATGATGTGGCAGTGATCATGCCCACACGTTCGCCCTCTGCATCCACTCTTCCCTCTTCCCCACACCCATCCATGTCACCACTTTGCGCATACTCGCCCCTCCTGGCCCTGTCTGACTGAATTCTGGGGGTCCCTCACACAGCCGTGACTGAAATAAAAGATGTCCTTGACACATCACATAGTTTTTAGTTTGTTTCACTTGTTTCATTAAAAGATTTGAGAAGAGCAGTCATTTTTTTTTTTTTCCTGTTGGAGGGTATACAAGTATGCTAGGTTTATAATAATAATAATATGAATGATAATAAAAAAAAAGTAACCTAAGTATCACACTAAGTAATCTACTACTTAGTAATCACACTAAGTAACCTAAAATATTTGACAAAAAGTAATGGTTATATTATATAACTGTCCTTTATCTAAAGGTCAGCATGTGAGGAGAAAGGTTTGAGACTCACGGTGTGCATGGCTTGTTACAGTTGTTCCACTGTGTACTTGTATATCCTTGTGATCTATCTCATGAGGTTATAAAATAAGGAAAGTTATATTTGGGTTGTGTTCTCTCAGATGAATTAGTTATTTCAACTTGCCCGTGTGATTTTCTAAGAGAACTAAACAACTGGTGGCTGACCTTGAAAAGGGCGGTCTGAACGATACAAAGGTGTGACATTCAGAATGTGAAACTATCGTCACTTGTATCAGACGCCATTGTTTCACCACAAGCAGTGTTTTCCAAGTGACCTGAGGCGCCGACTCACAAAAAACTAGAACAAATGAACGTCACACGCTCTCATAATGACCATAATGCTCCTCATATGACATGTAGCCTCAACTTTGTGCTCGTAAAACCCACACACACAGAAATGTGGGACAATCAACACTACAGTATTCTGTCAGACATCAGAGACACCTTCTCTCCTTCCATCACAGACTCTTAAAGCCAGCACATCACTCCTTATCCTCTCTTCCTCCCTTTACTTCTGATGAGGTGTCATTTTTTTGTCAGTGCACTTTCATCATGGTCACATCATTTCATAACTGTAGAAATATGTAAGAGATAAAAACTACGCTTTACATATTTTTCACATTTTCCTTTCTCGTACATTTAACAGCTCCATTGAAAAGCATTTTTTTAAGCATTTCTCAATTTTGAAAAACCTTACGCAACTCCTCTTGCTTTCACTTCAGTTGTCATGTGTGTCAGGAAATAGTTATCTGATAAAACTGATACACGAGTATTGTGAAAATCTTCAACTGAGGGCAAATGTCTTGCGCCACAGTTTGTATAAAAACTAGTTTGCGAATAGTGATCACTGTCATCATCAAATGTTAGACCAGAATGTTAAATATTTGTATTAGTTTGTACATTTTCACAACGTATTAAATGTATTGATATGGCGTTGACATCTACTGTCTGCAGAAGTGCACCTTTTGTTGTTGTAGCAACAAAGGACAGCTTTATGGGACAGAAAACACATGACAAGTTCGTGCATGAGACATACTGTATGAGCCTACAGTTCATGGTATATTCCCCCTGATTTCTCGCTTTTCTCAATCTTTGGGCAACTCCGCATATGGTCTCCAAGTCAGCAGCATTCCTGTGCAGCATCAGTTTGCTGTTTCACAGTGGCTCCTTTCTCTCTCTCCCCCCCCCCCCCTCTCTCTCTTTAAGACACCCTCCGTTATGAATGGACCAAATTGACATGGAAAACGTTGCTACAACAACCGGCCTATTCAGAGCCAAGGCTGTAACCATCACACCTGGAAGAAACTCCAAAGCTGCAAACAAGTGAGCAGTGATTTAAATACAAAGACAAAAAAAAAAGATCTCTAAAACTACAGCCAGTGGAGAGAGAACTTTACCGTCTATACTCTCGCTGCTTTTCTGTGCGATGACTGCGATCGTACTGTAAGAGTACACTCAAAAAGAAAAACCATAGCGGAGATTCATGTTATTATCGCGTATTAACACATTTTGACACCGACTTGGGAGGAGTTCGTCTCGGACGCCGTCGGCTTACACACACTCCACTGCACTTTACACAAACATTGAAGGCTCAAATCTGATGACAGCTCTAAGTTCAGCTGTTCCTCTATCCATCCCGGTTATCTCAATATCTACTCACCGTGCAAAGCTTTTTCACTCCAGACATTTTTCCCCCACAAAGTGTATTACACGCCGACGACTGCTGAACACGGGGCTGGTCTGCTGCACACACACACACACGGGCCTGCGAGGATGAGCCGCTCGTTTGAGTTGTAAATCTCAAAACTTTTGGCTGCGGTACTCGAAGAAGACGGATGGGGTTTTTACTTCTTTTTTTTTTTTTTAAAAGGGACTTCCAAGACACGTAGCATTCCGCTGGCCCAGCCTCCAGCCCTCCTCCTTCGACGTCCAGAAAATCTGCATAATTCGCCGTTTACCAGCCAATACTCAAGCATAACGACACGACGGGGCTGAGCACTGAAACTGGCAGCTCTCGTCTTGGTCGGAGGTTGGATATCATGTTCATCCCAGTTCTGTTGAATCACAGCAGTACTCCCCCCCCCAACCCCACCCCCAAGGCATATCTGGACATCTTGCTTTTCTGTCTGTGTTTTCACATTCATAAAAAGAAAAATCCTAATCCTACATCAGGTCGCCTGAGTTAACTCGCTGCCTTGTTGCGTAGTAACGGTAACTTTTCTCACTCAAGCTGGTTACATTTTTTCATCCTCAGTTTAGTTAAGTTAATGTTTACCGCTACATCTTCGCAGATATTTCAATTACATGGACATTATTGCGTCGAATTGGCAGATTTTTTTTAATGAAGTGTCACAGCTTAAAAGTAAAACGATTTCATAGTTACAAGAGCCAAGCAATTTAATAAATCCACGACTTTTCAGACGGAATCGGGGTCAGCCTGTCTGCTCTGTGAGAGGGGGGGAACTGGTAAAAAAAAAAAAAAAAAAAAAGTCCGTATTGGGCATCAAATATGGGCTTTTTAATGGACACGAAACAGTTTGACAGACAATGTATTCGCTTCTTTATGTTAGAAGTAACATATTATGCAATACAATTGCAGTCACTCCAGGGGTGTAGGCTATGGGGGTTGTTGGGAGAAAAAGCCTAAAAAAGTTCCCACTTGATTTTGATCATCCTTCCAGTGGAGGAAACATGAAGGTCTCTCCTGTTCCCTTCAGAAAAAGAGGGATACACGCCCTCCACATGACGAAGGACCCTCCAGAGTTCCTCTCCATTGGGGAAAACGTGATGAAGGGCCCTTCAGCAAAATATTCCAGTTGAAAAAATGTAATGAAGTGTCCACCAGGTTTTTGCACTCAAAAAAAAGTGAAGAGAGGTACTAGGATGCTATTTCCAATGAAAATAGTGCATTGCAATGAAAAGGCTGCACTGCCCCACCACATCAAGCAGGTTCCCTTCTTTGTTTTGTCTACTGAGATGAGATAATCCTTTTTTAAATCCCCCAACAGGATATTTGCATTGTAATCAATACAAGGTACTGAGCAAGTATACAGTTTTAAATGTCCTAAATAGCATTTTAAATGATTCATTTAACAGCAATAAAGCCAACACCTGCAACATATTCATAATGTTAGAGTGCCTTTTCAGATTGTGGCCCTCAACAAACAAAAAAATAAAAGAATACATCAAAGGGGAGCTAAAAAATTGTTTTCCAAATGCAGAGGTATCCAGCTTATATTTTATTCAAATATGTATTATAGTAGGTATTAAAGTAAAGAACAAGCTGAAATCATATTGGAAAAATACAGAATTTCCATACTGTAAAACACTGATAATAACTTACCATGTCTAGAATGTGAGGGGCCATCAGAGACACATCTTTCATATTTAAAACTAGTAAAATTGCATAGCAGTGACCAGAGTAACTGTACAAAAAAAAAAGATTGATAACGTAACACAAATGTTGAAATATTATCAATCTCAGAAAAGTAAGTAGATATTTGGACGAGAGCACCAAAATGACCAGATGAATGAACAGATTTGCCAATTCTATGTTACTAGAAAGATTAAATGACCTGTAATGAATTTATAAAGTAAAAAACACCACTGTATGAAGTTTCTGTTACAGTGATAACACAATCTTTGGCTTTCTATTAAACAAGGGATGACATATTTAGGTGATGTGATGACATACCACTTCCAAATGTCAGCAAACTTCAAGAAATGTCTCAGTGCTTCCTCATAATCAGGAAAAAGCAAAGTGATGCATCTACAACTTCCTATGAACAATATATAAAATGTGTACACAGCAAAAATACAATCTTTTGTTCCTGCTCTAACTTGTGCAATCATCAAAAGAAGCCTTGTTAAAAAAAATACTGCAGAAGTAATGTACTAGTCAGGGCTACCTTGAAATCAAAGTCTCTGTTAAGATGACTTTTTTTCAGACAATCCCAAAATATTAAATGCTTCAAAGGCAAAGTCAAATACTGATATGTTCATGTTTGAGTAGAGGCATTCTGGCTAAAGTGATCCCAATATGTTCATTTTCCATTCACTCCATTTTTCAGATTAAACTAAATTAAGCCACTATCATGCCTTCGATGTCAGACTTCCAGATTCTTGAACAGCTGACACTCAGTCTCAAAGTCACAGCCTTGCAGCAGTTCCCTGTAGCGCTCTTTGACTTGCTGATAGAGCGGTATGGAGGCCTCAGTCAAACCAGGGAAAGTGACAGGCTTCTCGTTGAGCAGAGGCTGCAGTCTCAAGTCACCGTCACCGCAGTCGTACAGCACCAGGAGTAAGTTAGCGGCGTATGGTAACATGTGGCTGGTGCGGAAGGAGCGTTGGGTCTGTGTGGCGTAATTTAAGGAAGTCAGGGTCTCGTTGTCTTTAAAGAAGCCCAGGAGGGTGAGGAGGGGCAGGAGGGTCTCTGCATGGCCCACCTGGACCGTCACAGCTTCTGTCACCTGCTGGCCTGACCTGACAGGACAAAAGGCAACTTTTAGTTTGGGAGTGTTGGTCAGACACAACTCGGCATTTGAAGAATTGTAAGTCATCTTTGTTGAACATCTGATAGACTGAACCATAATAATTAAATGAATAACTAAAAGACCTACTATGGATTTTTGGTTTTGTACTTCGCCTGCTGCCTGTCATTGTTTTCATTATATTTTGATATATTCTTTGTATTTATTTTAAATGTATTTAACCAGAAAAACCTCATTGAGATTAAGAATCTCATTTATAATAATCATAATTATATTTAACATTATTAAGTTTTAGGTGTAACCTAAAGGATGAGGCATGGGAATGAAGGCAGTGAGACGATGTTCCACTTTAAGGGTTTTTTATTATCACAGGTTTCACCGCAATTTGTCAAGCGTTTTCTCCTGTTTCAGAGACAAAGTATGACAATTGATTATTTGCCTTGTTAACAAAATAATGTTCAATAACTCTAAACAGGATCAAGTGTATCCTTAAACAGAAGATGTATTAATATTAAACAACAAATCAAGCCTGTCTAAGCATCACAGACAAACGTAATCACTAAACTCATTAACAATAGCTCACATGTGGACGCACTCGGCTAAGAAAGATGGAACAGGTCTTGTAATTTAGAGCGTAAACTGAACAACGGGCTCTCCTTCCCTTTTTATGGGAGACCTGATCTGGGTAATTCCATTCACCTGTGGCTGATTGCTGCAGCCAGCACAGGTGTGTGGTGGAATTTCTGTAGTATTTAGATTATAATGTACAGACATCATTAGGTTTATTCACTGTTCTCTAATGTCAGTCAGACCTGACAGAGTTCAGCTGTGACTACAACACCAAGGACAGCTTTGAGAGTGTCAACTGTTTTTCCTGATATCTGCAAGGATGTTTGGTAGACTTGTTGTCTGCTCCAGTGTTATTGACGTCACAGTTTAGTCTAGGTGGGTCAATGTGACAACGACCCTGATAATGGTAATGTCTTTTGGGATATATGCGATGCCTTTCGAAGAGTTCTGCAGATGTGATTGAGCAAGACACGAGTACAGAAGTGTGATGTTGATCCATGTCTCCTCATGAGTATTCATCTTATGTATAAACTTTCATCAACGTAAGCCATCTGATGTCAACTGAGTCTTATTGTGTGAAGTCAAGTCTTAGTAATTTCTTCAACAAGGTGTTTATTGTTGTTCCTCCTTGAGCTCAGGGAATCAAGGCAGACATGACATCTCAACAAATACCAAATTCTTTGCCTTACAATTTCAGCACTGCAATTGTTGGACATTCTAATCACATGTCTTCATGTGCTGACAAGACTAACTGCTACCTTGGCAGTGACTAATAGAGATCCAAAGTGAAGTAATGATGTCTGAGTAGAGGCTTGAACTTTACTTTCTCTTACCAACAAATATTAAATGTGTCTGTAATTATGGGGAAGCTTGATGTGGACTAATTTCTCCAGGCTGGAAGTAAATAGCTGTAGACAGAAAACGAGCAGGAGACTGTGACTCATCTGTTTCGCCACACCTCCTTGAACTACATTTTCCTAGAAAATAATGATTTATTTGTTTTTGGAGTAAGGACACTATGTTTATTTTAAGCTTTGCACATAGGCCCTTTTATTAGTTTAATAAGTTGTGACGTGTGCTCAAACAGGCCGTTTGGAGTATTTTCAGTAACCCCTCCCCCAGGGTGCTGGACACTCCCACAGAGAGGTGTTTGTTCTGACCTCTGAGTCCGCCTTCTCAAAATTGGGCAAGTTACATGTTTAGGGGAGCTCAGAGAATTATTTAAACTGGTTGAAAATGATCATTATATGTGACCTTTAATTCACACATTTTAGATTTGAGATATGAACTAGTATTTGAGCAGAGTCCACTGGGAGCCTTAACTTCTAGCTAACCTGTTGCAATTAAGGTCTTTTTTTTACATTGGAAAATACACAAACAGAGAAAACCTAGCCTCACTGTTACATAATTAACATGTTATTTCATTACAGATATAGTATAGTAGTAGGGAAAGTATATAACATTTTAAAATTAAAATCATATTTAAAACTACACCTGCGTAATATATCTGTTGATTTTGTCAGAACAGTAACGTAGTAATTAACGCAAACTAAAGCTTCCAGTGTGTTTCATTAGTTTGCTTCTCTTCTACGGAAACACAAAAAGAACATCATAGACGATACGTCACACAGTGCTGACCAAGAAGGGTTAGCTGTTTAAGTTAGCTAATGTAGCTCGTGCCTATTTCATTATTATTTAACGTGACTGAAACTATCGCACCATAACACGGTGATGAGCATGTATTCATGGTGAATTAATGCCCAAATAGTGATGAGTTAATGTATGACACATGGAGAACTAACCCATGCATTAATCTGCAAGTATGATTCAAATGGTGAATAATGTCTGCATTGATTGATTTCTTCACTAATGACTTATGTTATTCATTAACAATGTTAATTAACACAGTAACCCAAAGCTATGGATTTCAACCTGGGATGTACTTCTTAATGAGTTAATGATTGTGCCCCACCAAGTAAAGTCACTTCATGATTATATATTTGTTAATCAATAATGTCCCTCTCAGGCTGCTGTAGGTTGATCAGTGACAAATCTACAGCAGCCTGAGAGTGACAAACTTCCCAAATGATTAAAACACAGCCACAACTGCTTAAAAAAAGACGGCTAGTCAGTGTGGCACGTTTGAGCAGCAGAGCTAAAACCAGACTAGCACAACAAGTCAGCTGATTTAAGTTAGTTTCCTCAGACAATATTACATATATAACTGTAAGTATGAGTGCTTATGAAGTTGTTTAGAAAGTTAAATCGTTTTAATGACAAAGATTGAAATGAGAGACAGCATACTTCATTAGTAAATTAATCTACAGTATGATGCGGACATTGCTCATAGCAAATCCTGTAATACTCACTATGTTAATCATATGGTTGCAGATTAATGCATGGCTTCGTTCTTCATGTATCAATAATTAACTTGTGATTATCTGATCGTTTATTCACCATGAATACATGCTTTTCAGCAGAACAGTATTGTAAAGTGTTCCCCCTTATTTATTAACACTTTTTCCCCAAGTTGTCACATCAGCTAAATAAAACAAAGAATTTGGCTGTCAAAGAAGAAAGACTACAACTCCCATGATCCTCCACTTCCTAATGAAATCATCCAACTTGGGCTTTGTTATTGAATTCATTGAGGGACCCCTGGCAGTAGGAATACGTACCATGCTCTAAGATTGACATGGGAAATGTAGTATTATTTGTGTTGGATGTCACAAATGAGGTGCGGCTTTAAATTATTTAAGCATGATCAAATGTGTATTAATCCGCAGCTGAAAATAGTCCCTTAGTAGGAACAAAAAGTCAAGTATTGAGTATTGGGAGATGGAGCATAGTTTGTCTTTTCATGCTATTTGTTCACAATAAAAATAAATAATAAGAAAGTAAAACCCTCCCTCTGTTTCTATATAAAACATTTGAATTTCACTCACTTGTTCTCGTTGGCCGCTCTGTCCAGTCGACTGAAAACATCGTGGAAGAGGATGCAGCTCGACTTACTGTTTATATCATAACCATAGCCTCGTTTCCAGAATTGTTTCAGGTCATTTGCATACTCCATCACCTGTTGAAGCAGAAAGACTCATTCACTGCTAGTCTGGATGCTGCACAGGCTTTATGTAAACACTTTAAATATGATGCATTACACTGCCACACACACTTTAACCAAACATTCATACTTAACTCAATTGTATACCCAACCTAATCATAAAATCACTGCTCCTGGACTTTCACCATTTCTCGTTTAAATGTAATGTCTGTACTATTGTATAGTGTCTTAATCATTTATAATCTGCTGTTTCTTATTTTTTGTTAGTTTTTGCTTTTGTTGTAGTTTCTTCTATGTGCACATATTTCTTTTTGTTCACTTTATCACCAAACACTCTTCATCTTCTTATCTGTATATCTCTTTTTAAAGGTGAGCTGGTATTTCAGGCTACCTAAGCACGAGGTCAGTTTGTAATACGAGGCACAAAACCCTCTTTGTGACACGCAGAAAGCCTGAAAACAGTTTCTGTGCTGAGTTTAGAGAAATCATTGCTACTTCTTGATTGTTACTTTGAACTCAGTTGGTTTACTTTATCTTGTTATGTTTCCCCCTGTAGATCTTGTCATTTTCCATTTGTGATCCCATCTTAATGTCTGTTTCTTACAACCTTTCTAGTTACACATTAAAGCAAAGTTTAACCAAATCTACTTACGCAGAACAACTGTGCACCCTGCACACAGTTAGAACTTTGCCAAGTTTAAAACAGTGTGAAGGACAGCATACGTCAACATTGGTACTAAAAATGAACTCGCCTTATAACAAGATCCTCAGCTTACTGAACACCCTTATGGTGTAATCTTATCTGCACGATTCCTCGGACTATTCAGCATAGGATAATTTTGGCATACTGGAATTAAAATAATTTAACAGCGGAGGCTCGTACCTGTGCGTCAACCTCGTCAAAAAGCCGACACCAGGGGGAGTTCACAGTCTTGATAGCAAACTCATAGGCACACAGGTAAAAAGCAGCTTCGGCCATATCTGGAGGAGAAAGTTGGAATCAAATGTTAAAAAGTAGTGAATGAGGAAAGGCCATGCTGAAGCCATTACAGTGAGCACAGGGCAGTAATATTACAGTTCAATGAGTAATTAGTTAGACAGCCTCTGAGCCTATGTCAAGGTCACAAATAAAGTCAATATTGGGTCCAACTCACTCTGGTGGAGAATTATTCATTTAAATGAGAAAACAGCTCCCTCTACTGTGCACAAAGTAAAACTGTGAAATATGACCAAGGGACAGACTGAAAAGCTTCAACATTTTATTTTAGAGGGCTTAATGTTTATCATATAAGTGATGTGTTTCTAAAGATTCTTTACAGATGTGTTTTGTAAATAACACATTCATAGAACGCTGAGTTAGTTAAGAATATGGAGACAATCTTCAATAGATATAATAATTTTCAATTAACAGCAAATAAATTATTTCAACTAAAGTATATTGAGTAAAGTCTAAAGTTTAAGTCTATTAAAGTCGATTCAGGGCAGGTGAGAAATGTGAAATTTGTGAACAGGCAATCCTATAGTTCAACATTTATGTAAAATAAAAGCTTTTAATCACACACACAAAAAAAAGGATTTTAATTTGGTGAGCTTTTCGGGAAAAACTACAACTATATTACAGTTTAGTTCACTTCACTGTTTATATTCCTCTTGTCTACCTCCTTTTTTATTCTATTTCTATTTATCTCACATATTCTGTTTTGATTTTTATTTGGTATTACCTACTTCTCTGTCTTGCTGCTGCAACGCCCAATTTTCCCTTCAGGGGATCAATAAAGTATTATCTTATCTTATTTTATCTTAACTACGATCAAATACATTGATTCCATTTCTCCATCTCTTTTTACTAAAACACAAAAATATATATATTAGGAAGTTTTTCCCCCAGAAAATGTCAAAGCAAATTTTGAGTAAAATGAAAAGTCAGCATTATCTGTACTTAGTGTATGGATCAAATACTAAACAGCTCTTCCTGAAAGTAGCTTTGTATTTCTAAGTACCAGACCTGTAGGAAACATATTCACACGTATTCATCCATTAAAGAGTTAGAAATTGTTGAGTGAGCCCAAATCTGTATTTAGAAATAATGGTATAATACTTAATACTTCTCCAGGTAATTAAACGCATCAAAGCTGTTTTTCTTTTTTTATAGAAGCAACATATATGAAATGTTTAAAACAAATAACCATACATGTGCACAGCTAAGGAACCCAAGGCTCTACAGCGGGTTAGCAAACCTGCCAAGAACATCATTGGACTCAAACTACAAAGCTTTAGTGACATTGAAGAAATGACTGTGGGTCGTTATGTGTCTATATGCAGCAGTTTACTCCAGATCCAGATGTTTACAGTGCAGTATCTTATGATACATTTAGTTTGTAACAGCTTCAAAACCTCAGATAAGCATAGGTTATTTATGCAAGACTGAGATTGTAGCCTCTACTCCTCTGCACTCAAAACAAAACAAGGGAACAATTTACTTTTAAACCCTTTAGAAGCCATGTACTTTACACCTTCGGCCTTTAGGGCAACACAAAGTGACCTGCATTGTGGTTTCTCCAGTGGGAACACCAGAGTGCACTTTTGTTTTTCCAAGACTGGATGCGAATTCGATGCCATGCTATACAACGCACTTCACTTTTCCTGATTGTGGAATCTGTCATGAGCCATTTGGACACTCTTGAAAATGAACAAGAACATTTCAGACAACCTGCCCCAGAAATCTTCCCGAGTCGCTTGTTCACAAATGTTCCACACAGCGGGATGTTTTTTTTCTTCCTATGACTATGGGGAATCACAGGAAGCAAGCCATGACGTAAAAAAAAAAGTCCAATATGGCGGTTGAGCAACACAGTCGGATGTTATGATGACAGTTTTTGCCTGCCAATGCAACATTTAATGGGACATATTGACAGTATACAAATGAAAGAGCGTAGAAGAACACACTGTGGAGCAGAAAACAATGAGCTTTTTCAATATGTGTGCTGGTTGCAGGATATAAAGGTCATCACCCCCTCTCACTTGCTCACAGTGGATTTAACTGAATATAACCCACTGTGTTCTCTCATCAGCTCATCGGGCCTCTTGTTGAAACTTACAAGTGGGCTACCAGGATTTAAAAAAATAAAGTCAGGATACAAAATGTGACTGTTTGTGTTCACACATGAACAAAGCTCCTGAAAATTTCAGAATTTGATGCATGTGTGAATTGGGTTTCGTACTCCACTGCATTCATTTAGCTGGCTCCACAGTAGTACCAACAAAACAAAGAACATTTAACAATCCACATGCAACCAGAGAAACACATACCACGATCTGATCAAGTGAGCATCATGTGCATGAAAGAACAACAACAAAACACTTTGGTCTTTGCTCTGCTTTTCCTTGAGTTTAAATAAGAGTTTGAAACGTATTGTTCTGGGTTGGCATAGATAGGCTATTTGTTGTCTCTGGTTGTGTGGCTGTATTGTGTGAAATTCTCTGGAACAACAATGAAGACAGCTCATGGCAGTGAAATAAAACACTCAATTCAGAGGAAGCAGAGAACATTCCTGCAGTCGGAGGGAACACATCACACTCCCTCATTACATCTGTAGCATTGTGGTATGTGAAAAAAACCTGCAAAAGGCCTTTTATCATGACCATCACAAGGCAAACCTGTTTTATAATCCTGCTGTTTAATCAGCATCCTGACATGACACACGTGTTAGGTTGATGGATGTTCTTTGCAGAGCAGAAGTACCCGCACAGATATACACAAAGATTTGAGCATCAAGTTTCACAGAAATAACCCACAGAACAAATGTTGCTTATTTTATTTCAACTAATGGGAAATCAGTGCAACATTAGCTCTTTTAAGTTTTTATTTTCAATGTGACTTTTTTTTTTTTTTTTAGGTTACAAAACAACATTTCATCCTTGGATATATACTTTATTTTTCCTTTTTTTGATTTATTGAATCCCAATTTGAGAAGATCTGCTCTTCTGTATTGCCCTATTTTATTGTTTAATATCTTCTAATTCTATTTTTGTTTGATAATGATTATATTTTCCTTGTGTGTTTAGCATAAGTCATGCTCCAGATGCTTTTCGTTGTGTAATCCTGTATTGAACAGTGCAAATAAACCTGAACTTTTGACCTTTACAATTATTGATATTTTTTTTCCGCTCAACTAAAAGGTCTGAATACTTCCTTCACTACTGACCGTCTGATATGGTGTTGTAAGGCACCCTGAGACGGTCTGCGATCTTCTCCTGGACCCTCCTCATCTCTGGCCCCTGCTTGAACTTGTCCACCTCTGATAGAGCTGAAGGGTTTTTATCAACTTCCTCCACAAACCTGGTGCACTGGTCAAAAAACCTCATGAGGGCATCGTTCACTGCATAGTCAAACTCCTTATCTAGGTAGAAAGAAAGATTATAAAGAAATGCATGTAAGCACTGAGTTACAATAGTAACAGTAAATCCTAATGGTCGTACCTGTAATGGCCCAAAGCTCTGCCAGTCCTGCCTTAAAGGACAGTGTGCTGTTGACACACCTGTGCTTTGAGCTGGTTATGAATTTGATCAGACCACCTCTGAGCTTCTCCTCTGTGATCAATGATGGAAACAGCTTTGACAGCCTGACTGCCAGATGCTTGTGATCGTTCACTCCTTTCTGGACGAGTCTGCCGTCCATGTCTTCAGTGTACCACATCGTCCACTGGTTCTGGATCTCACGCAGCCAGCTCTCTTTACCTGAGGCGCTGCTCTTGACCAGGTCGTACAACGTTTGCATTTTCTTCACATTTTTCACCGTGGGGTACCTTGTCCCGTGTCTTATCATCGCAGTCACGTGGATTTCGCGACATTGCGACGACGGAGGCTGCAAAATAGATCTGTTTACAGCCAGTATGTCCTCTATGAGATACGGGTTCACTTCCTCGTACCTCCCTTTCGTGGTGAAATATTTGGCGATTGCTGGTATGTTTGGATTCTCCCCTGGGTTCACATCTTTACGGAAACAGCAGCACAATCCGATTATGGTGGTAAAATGAACAACAAATAATTTCCTAAAAGTGATCGCCATGATGCAGCCTAGTAGATTGAATGGACTCTAGCACCCCCCCCAACTTCCCACATCTGAATGACGTCTTTCATGGGGACTTTTCTATGGAAGGCCAGTGATGCCAAAATTCGCCTCAAAGTTTAGGCGATCTAGATTAAAAAAAAAAAAACAGGATCCAAAGTGGGAATATTGTTATAAATAAGTCTATTAGGACCATCACTTTGAGTAATGTTTAATTCAGACAATGCCAAGATAGCATGATTATTCGTATGGGAATCAAAATAATTCCATTTATAAAATCATTTATAGCCACAATCAAAGACTGTGGACCTGCAAAAAACTATAGGTGCAAGCTTATGAAGCAATTATTTTTAGCTGTCATGACTATTAGGAAACTTATGAAATACAAATAATTGTTTGAAATATAAAATGTCGAGCCTATAAGGTATGTGGTCACTTATATGTATGTATATCCTTATCCTGTGGTGTCAGAGGAATAGGGGGATAGGGTGACTGACTACTGTAATCTTAGTATATTTAGAAGGGCTGGGACAACATTCCTTTGTCCAGATTTGAATTTAACGCAATTCATTTTGCAGATACAATTTATATTGTGTTTCTAAATTATCGCGGTACAACAGTCTTTTTTACATTTAATATTTAGGATGTGATACAACACAGCAGTTTATCAATATTTGCTCCAAAGCAAGTAGGAGATGAGACGTATTTTCACAAGACAGCAAAAAACATACTTTTAAGCAATTGTGTGAAATTATATTCTAATAGAGGCATTTTTAGCTTTCGATAACAAACCAACAAACATGGACTCTCTCAGCAGCAAAATAATCATGTCATGATAGTTGCACTTTGGTTACATAACTGGACATTGACCACTTCATATCATGATGGTGCTTGTGCTTATCTTCATATGACTTGTAACAAGGATTTCCACTTATTCTACTCTTATGAAAACTTTACTTATTTTAAGTTTAAAGTTGGTCTTTTTTGTGCTAAATATGACTTTATTTCTCTTTATATTCTACCTTTGGTGTATTTGACTGAAAAAGTAACTGTCTTATATTATATTGTAGAGTGATCCAACTCATGGGTAAGGTTCCGTTTCAGTGACAACAGAATCTATTTTAGAGGTCGAGTGCATTTGGGGATTCATAGCACTACTGTGATTGCATTTTTGGAAGAAGTACTAAGATCATTTACCTCAATATAAAAGATTCAATAGCAAGTAAAAGTCTTAAAGGCGTGTAAAGTGCTATACTTAAATGAGAGTACAGTTCATTGGCATCAAAGGGATGAACAGAACATAAAGAAAAATCCTGTTCAACCAATTATGTTTTAATATTAGGATCACAGGAGCACATTAACTGTGTGGCACCAAAAGGAACTCTAACTTATCATCTCCAGCTTGTCTGTCTAAACTTTAGCAGGACTCTTAAGCAGTTGGCACTCAGTCTCAAAGTCACAGCCTTGCAGCAGTTCCCTGTAGCGCTCTTTGACTTGCTGATAGAGCGGTATGGAGGCCTCAGTCAAACCAGGGAAAGTGACAGGCTTCTCGTTGAGCAGAGGCTGCAGTCTCAAGTCACCGTCACCGCAGTCGTACAGCACCAGGAGTAAGTTAGCGGCGTATGGTAACATGTGGCTGGTGCGGAAGGAGCGTTGGGTCTGTGTGGCGTAATTTAAGGAAGTCAGGGTCTCGTTGTCTTTAAAGAAGCCCAGGAGGGTGAGGAGGGGCAGGAGGGTGTCTGCATGGCCACCTGGACTGTCACAGCTTCTGTCACCTGCTGGCCTGACCTGACAGGACAAATGGGTCTCAGAATTTACCATAATGTATACAGTCGCACTAAAAACATATATATTTCATTTCAGATTAGTTGAAATAAAACAAGTGCAAGACAACAGAATATGCAAATATAACAAGAAAAGACGGGGTTGCTGACAAGTGTTTATACTGCTGTTATTTTTCAGTGTATGTGTGTGAGATCATTTAAACTACATATTTGAGGGGCAGGCAGAAAAAAAAAGCGTCTTTGTATGAACAGCAGGTCAGTATACATTTCACATACTTGTTCTCGCTTGCTGCTTTGTCAAGTCGACTGAACACATCATGGAAGAGGATGCAACTTGACTTGCTGTTAATGTCATGGCCGTAGCCTCTTTTCCAGAATTCCCTCAGGTCACTTGCATACTCCATCACCTGTGGTAGCAGATGTAGTTCAAAGATAGCCTGTATGTGGGTGTGCGTTACACAAAGACTTTGAATAAGAACATCCCAAGAGAGTGAGTTCAGCCTTCTGTAAGATGGCATTTCAGGTCAGAGTGTCAGGTCAGCTCATAACACAAACACTCTTTCTTTATTCACATAATGCCTTGGGGTTTCTGAATGAAGAGAGGCAAACAGAGAAGGAAACAGGTTGTCTTTTTTTTTTGCTATCATAAGTAACTATTAATAGCCCTCCTCCCGTTCTTAGAATCAATCAATGAGATATCTGAAGAATTAGTCTGATGTTGGCGCTCAGTACCTCGGGCCTACATTTAATTGGGTGTTTTGTTTTGCTTTGTCCTGTTTGCGTTGGATTCAATAGCTGTAGTATGGTTCTGTACATTTGACCCTGATTGACCCAAGTGCATCTCTGCTTTCCCACGAGATCCCCATATGGTCAGCTGAAGTTCCTCTCAGCATGTTTGTTGTGACCTTATTGCAAAATAAACAGAAAATATAACCCTCTGCTCTATACTCTAAGAATCAAGACTAGCTTGTGATAAAGTGAGTAATATATGCTTATGTCCAAGAACATCTTATATTATAATAATAATCATCATCATAATCATAACAGTGGAAGGTACTTTTATAAAACTAATATCCCCTATGAGACAAGTCTTTATGATTCTTTAGTTAGATTTGTCAATGAAAAATTCTACTGATATTAATGATTAACTTAATGTAATTCAGCCACACCTGTCTTGCCATAAAAAATGGAAATAGTTTGGGGTGGTTATGTAAAGAGGCTGTAGTCGTCATCGCAGCGGCAGTTAGTTCAAATCCGACCTCGGCCCTTTGCTGCATGTCATCCCCCTCTCTCTCCTCCCAACGTTTCCTGTCTCTCTTTGGCTGTCCTAAATAATTCTCATAAGCTCTCAATTCAATATTTTCTTCTTACAACACTTATTGTGTATCATCTCACCTGACATTAAAACCTTTGTGTTTTTTAAACACTGCATTAACACATTTCTAGCCCAGATCCCGTTGAAGAGTAGTCAGTCCCACTTTTACCTCCATTATGACACCTACGCTGCTGTGACATTAAAAAAAAATCCCCCTTCAGTTGGCCATTTATGGCTCCTACCTTTGCATCTTCGTCATCGAACAGCTGACACCAGGGGGAGTTTATTGCCTTGATAGCAAATTCATAAGCACACAAGTAAAATGCAGCCTCAACCAAATCTGCAGGAGAGAGGTTAGGATTGACTTTTTAGTTTGAGTGGAAACATTTCAAAAATCTTACTTACAAAACATTTGATGTCTTTTTAAAAGAAACTGTGAATCATAAAGAGGAAGGTCACTCCAAGTACAAGAAGAAAAAAACCGATTTCACCATCTAGAGATGCAACAGTTCCTTTTAGATTGTAATACTAAGGTAGTATTGAATACTGTGGGAATTACCATGTGTGATTAGACTATAGGCTATTCTGAGACGGTCTGCGATCTTCTCCTGGACCCTCCTCATCTCTGGTCCCTGCTTAAACCTTTCCACCTCGGCCACAGCTGAAGGGTTTTTATCAACTTCCTCCACAAACCTGGTGCACTGGTCAAAAAACCTCATGAGGGCATCATTCACTGCATGGTCAAACTCCTTATCTAGATAGAAAGATTATAAAGAAATGCATGTAAGCACTGAGTTACAATAGTAACAGTAAATCCTAATGGTCGTACCTGTAATGGCCCAAAGCTCTGTCAGTCCTGCCTTAAAGGACAGTGTGCTGTTGACACACCTGTGCTTTGAGCTGGTTATGAATTTGATCAGACCACCTCTGAGCTTCTCCTCTGTGATCAATGATGGAAACAGCTTTGACAGCCTGACTGCCAGATGCTTGTGATCGTTCACTCCTTTCTGGACGAGTCTGCCGTCCATGTCTTCAGTGTACCACATCGTCCACTGGTTCTGGATCTCATGCAGCCAGCTCTCTTTACCTGATGCATTTTGCAGGACGATGTTGTGAAGCTGCTGCATGTCCTTGACGTTTCTGGTCGTAGGGTACCTTGTCCCGTGTCTTATTATCGCAGTCACATGGATTTCTTGACATTGTGCAGACGGAGGCTGTAAAACTGATCTGTTTACAGCCAGTATGTCCTCTCTAAGATGTGGATTTACTTCTTCGTATCTCCCTTTTGTGTTGAAATATTTGGCGATTGCTGGTATGTTTGGATTGTCCTCTGTGTTCACATAATCACAGAAACAGCAGGAGTAGATAAGAACAGGAAAGATGATGAATTTCCAAAGAAAGTTCTGCATGATGCACCCTGAAAGAGGCTTGAAAAACAGCTGTCACCAAAATGTCCCAAACTAACAACATCTATTTCACGGCATCAAAATCGGGACAGAGCAGAGTCCAGTATAGTTTGTTTAACCAAATGACCTCGCAACAGCACAGTAAAGTTAACAGTGTGTGCTTGCACAGTGGCTGACTTAAAAATACACTATTTATTTTATAAAGATAGGAAAAAGAACATAGTTACAGTTGTCTTGTGAGATCAACAAGTTATCCTATGATCCATTTCCTTCCTGTTTCAATGATGTGTCATTGTGTTACTATGCAATGCAGTTTTAATATCTTACATTGTTGCTGTGGAGTTGTCTTAAACGGAGAGCAAGTTATGATCTCAAATGTGTCATGTTATTAGACAAGCCTGGCCTGTTAGAAAACATAGGAACTCATCCAGATGTGTATAATAGCCTACATCTTTCAATATATATTTTTTTCAAGATTTATTTCTGGGTTTTGGACAGTGGATAGAGTCAGAAACCAGTGAGAGAGAGTGAGGAACGACATGCAGGAAAGGAGCCACAGGTTAGATTTGAACCCGGGCAGCCCGCCTGGAAAACCACAGCCTCCATACATGGGGTTGCACTCCAACCACCAGGTCATGACGCCCCATCTATCAGTATATTATCATAAATTATTATTATTAATAATAATGTATAGTATAGCAGATATGTCCTAATGCAGAACACTGTGAAATGTGTTTTTTGGTTCCAGGACCCGTTTTGACATTTTTACTCCCCCGTCAAATTCTATTATTGATGAGTAAATGCTTATATATACATTTAATTTGTCTACAAGTTATATTTCAGTCAGATGCTGTTTAGAAGGGATTTTGTCTCATTAGTGCATTGAATGTTTTGTTTTCAGTTGTTGCTTTATAGTGTTACTCTCTATTTTACTCACATTATTGTACCCTGTGGTAAAAAAAACCCAACTCAAATATAATACATTGTTTGAATATTAAGACCCTTGTGTATCGACATGCATTTATTTTTTTAAATTTAAGATTGTATGAAGGAGATCCACAGGTGTAGGAGCCAATCTGCAGATTTGAATGTAATGTGTGATTAAATTTAAGATGGACTGAAAACAAAAAAGACTTCTTTGAATTTCAAATTGATCTATTTCACCTTCAATAAACCGTAAAACTTGGAATACATACAGATATTAACACATGTAGCTCATATCAAAGGTGAGATAAATGTATTTCTTTCTGTTAAAATTACAGCTTCACCAAAAACCACTGGGTTAGAATTGGCCCAGGGTTTGTTATTATAGCAACAACACAGCAGTGGGTTAACATGAGCAACGGACTGTCTTAATACACCGCTAATGTTATGTTCAAAACAACTACTCTGTTGTTAGGTTTTCACCCACACAGTTTAACACCCACACAGGGTCAAAACAGCAACATATCTCAGCCAATTGTATTTATTGAAGACTTTACTTCAATCTATAGTCACTCCATTTTCAATTGAGCACAAGAACAACTCACAAATACAGTGCAGACTCCCGGAGTGGATCCTACACTGGCATTTCCATTATAAATCTAAAAAAAAAAACACACAAAAAAACCCAGACATATAAATGGGTAAAGGGGAGCCTGAGTATTTTAGGTTTTCTGTTATTTGGAGACCTCTGTAGGTCTTAAAGGGGGTATTGCCGATTTAACAGATAACACTCAAAGAGATGAATAAAACAGACTGATTGTTGATCCATGATTAAGTCACATAATCATTTAGGCAGATAAGGAAGTTAATGTAGGCTTTGAAAAAGTGAAGTATCTTTAAGACTATGTGGAATATAATGTACTTGTTTGGTATTTGAGATATGCCACCTTAAAAGGCCTATCTTAGCAGTTTAAACTGATCAGGGATATCAAAGTAGCTCAAAAAATCACCCCTCTCCAGTTTAAACATACTGATTTCATTAACAGAAGAGCTGATTTTTCTTATAAGAAATATTTTAGCTTTACATTATTAAGTGTTTCTCCATAAACTATTAGGCTGATATCAGTGGAATAAAGAACATGACATTAAAATACATTTATTGGGCCTAGGCTAGCCCTACATGATTTTTTTTCTTTGAAAATTGTGGTATGAATTTCAACTCTTTTACTGCTTTTCCTTTTCGTGGTCCGATTCGATGACTCCTTCTTACTCATTTTTGCTGTGATGTCATTATTGTAATATAAGAGCAATATTTTCCTTTTTTTATTTTTATTTTATTTTCACCAATAGGTGGCTTCAGACAGACGAGGCGGGGGGGGGGGGGGGTGGCTCGTGCTACTCCAACTCCAACTCGCTGCATTTTCAGTGTTAGTCGTCACAGTTGCTGCATTCAAATGCTCCTTTTGTGCTCCAAAATCAGAGCGTCTAATTATGTTACTATGTGTTTTTCGCGAACTTTTTTTTTTTTTTCCCACACACGGAAATCACGATAATATATGTTGCGAGGCGTGGAAAATTAATCTCGAGGTGTGTTGTCTGTTAAAAAAAAATAAAATACGAGGATTATTATGTCCTGTCAATGGGCGCTAAAAAAAAAAAAGAAATCCTAAAAAAACTTTTTCTGATTGTACCTGAAGGCACCACGGGTGACGGCACGAAAGGAACTCCCCGCTTCTCCAGTCACAAAACACCGGACAGACCCACAGAGGGATTCTTGCCACATTGCGGTGATAACCATTCCAGATCGAAGAGAAAGTCTTTGAACAGTCGACGGCTGAAGGTAAATTTAAAAACCCCACTTAATACTCTTATTTTTTTTCTTCTAAAGCAGGTCAACTTAAGGCCCCGTCAGCCCCTTTTTTGTTTGGTTGGTTTATTAAACACTGTCTCTGGATCCAAGTCGAACAAATGTTGGCTTTTTGCTTTTAACATTATCTCAAACTATGACGCGTAGTATTGTAATATAACGGTACAGTCAGTATGCTCTGTATACCACATATCCCCGTTATATTTAACAGGCTTGCTAACCATTGCTGTCTTGTGGCCTTACGTTGAAACAATTTATCATTTTGACGACTAAACATCGTTCATCCTGATCCAACGTGAAGCTACACTCAGTCCGCTGCTGCTGCTGCTGCTGCTGCTGCTTGTGTTCATTTCCGACCCGAGCAACAACAAATGTGAGCTGGATAATGTTCGAGGTGGTTAAAAACAGAACACTTTACAGTTTTTGTTATACAATGATCATGTAGCTAACAGATACACCAACACGACCCCCAGTTTAGGCTAGCGAGCTAGCTAGCTGAAATACTGAAGACGCCAGCTTTATCTATTTTTAGGTGGTCAGACTGTAAGCTCTTAAGCCATACTTTACAGTGACTATCGTAGGCCGTGATTTGGATGAAATAACAGGTTTTATTTTTGATTTTTTTAGCATTGTTAAACCACCTGTGTCAGCCATGCTTTTGTCCATGTAACGCTATTTCCCCAGGTGTGTCCTACTAACGATGCAATGGCAGTAAATAATCCTCATCTGAACTTCCTCTCTCCTCTGTAAATATTAACCCAGATCATTAACCGAGAGTCAAACGTGTGTGTGTGTGTGTGTGTGTGTGTCCTGGTTGTTGGCAGTGTTACATTTGAGATCTATTTTTCCTCGTTTATTGAGAAGAGGAGAGGGGCGGCACGGGTGACTTGTTGTAGCCTCGTTTTTTGTTTTTTTCCCCCTCAGACACGTCTCTCTCTCCCCCCCCTCTTTTTTGTGGGGGGAAAAGAGGGGACAAAACTTGATCACAGATGTGTGTCGTTGGATAAAAGACACGTCTATCCTGTTGGCAGGAGTAGAATTCCGCTAACAAAGCTGGAAAACTAGCACACAAGTCCACCAACATGTGAATCTCACTTGGAACATTTCAGACACAAAATGCTGATTGACTATGACTCGTAAATGCACATTATAAAAAAAAAAAGTCAATTTCCCATACCACTGCTTATGCCTCGCACACAAAGCCCACAGCACAACTCCTAATACTGACAGATTAGCCAAGAGACACAGTGATTGAACCAAACAGGAACATCTCTGTGCAGAAGAACTGGTGAGAAAGCAACTTTTCACAGACATAAACAGTGTGACTGCAGGGCGAGTCAAAAGGGGGCAAAATGTTGGAAGTGAGTCAATGGGGTTTATTGTTGGCACGGCTTGCAGCCCAGTTGCAGAGCAAGCCTCATTGCTTAAGCAAAGCATGTCAGAGTGTCAACAAGTGGAAACAATGAGTTTTCTGTAGGGCGACACAGCCATGGTTCAGCTTGGAAATCTGTCTCAGTCAAAAAAAAACGAATCTATTGACTTAGAGCAGTTTATATCATCAACTTCCTCTTTCTTGAAAACAGCACAATTTTGTTTTATTGTCCTAAAAAAATATTAGCAAAGCTTTCTAATTGAATAGAGTTATTGGTTATTTATTAAGTTGAACTTATTTAGAGAGGCTTTTTGATACTTCAACGAGCTGCAGATTACTTAATGACATTTTCATGAATAAAACCAGCTTAGCTTTACTGGATATGATTCAGTTAGAACTTCGGCAATAACGCGCCTTAGATTACTGATGCTAACATTTCCCTTAGTAATAACTTAATAAGGGAGCACTGGGAATTTGGGATTAGTGCACATATCAACAGGACAAGACAAAGGCAACAGATACGATTTTTACATAAGCAGACGAGTCCAGGGATACAACGACAGTTCAGACCAAATGGAGACAGGAAATGTGAATAGAGACAGGAAATGTGAACATTACAGATTTTTTGCCTGTGAAAAGACAGGGTTAGTGAGTTATTAAGTCTGTCTTCAGGCTGTGGCTCCTTGTATAGAAATAAGAGCCCCTGTGTATTGTGAAGTTTCTATTTGACATCATCATAAGTCAGTTGGGTAGTCTAGCATTGCCCCACCCTACTGCCAGGTCAAAGCATGTTTGTGTATTGACTACATGACTTTTTTTTCCCATGACAAAGCTTGAAGAAAATCTATTTTGGATCTTAATGAAGCTCAATTAATACCCTGCTATTAATTTAGTTGCAGCAAAAT